ACTGCTTCATTTTAAAATAAAAGCAAGGGTTATGTTCAAACAATCTTTATTGTTTGCATAGCTCAGACCATCATTAAACTTGAATATATGGTTTTATGACATTTTATTTAAGCAATAGCTGTATAAGAGGATTTTTCTCATGAAACTCAAATTATCTGGGTCTCCCATCCTTAACTTTCATTCATTTCAAGCAACTTAAAAGCAACATACTAAAGAAAAGAACTTATTTTTACTATTCCAATACCTTGAATTTGTTTCCCACACTGATGAAACTAAGCTTTCCTGCTTTTTGTTTGGGATCTTTGTTGTTGTTAGTTGTAGATTCAAAGAGTTCCCGGACAAACTTATCCTTGGATTCACATATAAGAGATTCAAGGGACATGTGCAAAGCATCATTGTTTTTCTCCACAAACTGGGTCTGAAAAGAAAACAAACCATGTAAACTTTACAGTACTAATTGCTTTACTTAGTCCTACATAAATACATACTTTGTTCAAAACATCCCAATATTAACAAAAATACCCAATTCGAAGATACTAAGAACCAGAGGGGGAAAATGTATTGAGAAAAATATTTAAAATTTAACTGCAGACCATCTACTGCTTATGTCTGACACTAACAACAGTAAAGGGAGAATAGCTGTTAAGCTTAAAGCATAGGCCCGGGCATCATGAGATGGAATTTGAAATCTTGGATTAGCTTAGTCAGTACTAGCTCTGCCACTGACCACAACAGCAGCACAATTTGACCCTTGATTTCTATTTTCAGTTCTCACTATAACACTACAGGCAGTCCCCGGGTTACGTACAAGATAGGGACTGTAGGTTTGTTCTTAAGTTGAATTTGTATGTAAGTCGGAACTGGTACATATTGTAGGGGAAACTCTAGCCAAACATTTCTCCAGAGCTCAGTTTTATTCTCCCACACCTCACTTCCCTCAGGCCTTTATTCTCAAGCTGAGGTGTCTGCTGAGAAAAGCCGTTCCGCGTCTCCCTGGTCTGCTGGGGGGGGAGCAGCTAGTGCGGGATTGCCTCACCCCGTTTGTAAGTAGGGTTTACATCTCCCTGGTCTGCTGGGGGGAAGCAGCTAGTGCGGGGTTGCCTCACCCCGTTTGTAAGTAGGGATCCGATTTAAGTCGGATCCATGTAACCCGGGGACTGCCTGTACTCAGCTGCATTGTGAGGCTTCATTTATTAATGCTTTGATTCTCTTTGACATCTTTAGAGGTGCTGTAGAAATCCAGAATTATTATTCTTACATTAACTACTACGTATTAATGATGGCAAATGGAGTAAGAAATAATTGGGATATTTTAGTCACTAACTTGAAAGTGCATTTAGAAAGTCAGTCTTTCCAAATAAATGAACTAAAACCAAAGACTGAGAAATCTGCACCTAATTTTATGGTGTTGGAATCAAGGACAATGTAGCCGTTGACTTTAATGGAATAATGATCAGGGCATTTCTGAATTCTGAAAACATTTGCTACTGAGCTAGCAGTAACAACAAGTCATTATGCTTATGCTTTTATTGATTAAATATTTATTAGACATATTGGGTTAATCATCACAAAGAAGAATTTGAAATCTCCATGTCCTTTGAGCAGGGCGCATTTAAAGTTAATAATTAACATGAGTTTCTTAAATCAAGTTACCGTCTCATAACACACTGCTCCAGCAAAATGTCGGATAATAAAGCCCTCATCATCTCTGATATTTCTGTGAACAGCCAATTTAGACTTCCTGGGAATCTGCAATTAAACACCCCCCCCCAAGTTGAACAGAAAATCGTTAACAAAATCAGAACAGCAAATTTCCAAATCATATTTTTCTGCCAGAAATATTAGGTGCTATGGACTTTCCTATGGATTAAGATTAAAGCTGTGAGAAACACTACTATTTCAGTTCCCTCAGATTCAAATAAACTTTTTCTTCATCCTGAGCTTTTTCAGGTTTGAATGAGTCTGCAACTCACAGTAAAATGCCACTGCAACTGCCAAGATTAATAATTTGTATCATCACAATTGTGTTGAGTCCAACATTAATTCCCACAGGTGACACAGAACAGTTGGCTGGTGCACAGCCTTGACAGGATGCTAGGAGATAGTGGCTCAAATATATCTTTTGGATGAGATCATTTACAAGCAAGACAGTGACACTGAAATTTGCCTTGGTGAGCTGTCCAACCATGGGTGTCACAGGAGGGAAGCTACAACCATTGCAAATTTCTCTGTAAAACTTCTGAATTAAGAGCTGAATAGCTGGAGATAAGGTGAAAGATCCAACTCTCAGAGATAGAGCTAAAAATCAAAGGCTGCAGATAGGAGCCATCTACAAAAACTGAAGAGTCCAACAAGAATTTTTCATAGCACAGGAATCCAGTTAACTAAATGAGTATTAATTTAGAGGAATACATCATTTTGTTGAATCTTCCTGTGTTTAGTTATTACTGAAGTAGTATTTCTTGTGCTTTTTGTATTTACAAATTTACTGGCATATTTTAAATCTGGGATTGTGTTAATCTAACAGTACGCTTAAAAATAAAGAAAATCCTTTCCCTGAGTGGTTCTACAGTCTCATCTTTAAAATATTAAGTGTGAAACTGAGAAAATTGGACTAAACAGATATTTGTTAAAACACACAGCTAAAAATCTTGGAGGAATTTGGAGAGATAAGGGGGAAACAGTTATCCGATGCCATCAACTCTGCCTTTAGAAAAGCAACTCAAGGAAAATCCTTTTTATTTCCTTTTCATAGCTAGAAATTATCTGCACATCCTAAACTCAAAACCCTGGTCATCTGAAGAGGTGGACTGTGCCCACGAAAGCTCATATCACCATGTACATGTTTTATTAGTCCATAAAGTGCTATCAGACCATTTGTTGTTTTTAGAAATGATTAGACATACATGAGAGATGACAGTCACTAAAATGAAAATGATGCACAAATTTCATAGAAGAGTTAAATCTCTAGTGAACCTTTCAATAAACCTAAACTGAGTTTCTATTTTATGAAAATGCTTGGGATTGCATAAAGGAAATATTTCATTACTTATGACACCAGACCCCGTAGTTCTGAGGCTTCATAATACTTTCTTAAATTAAAGTTTGTACTTTTCAGTCAATATGCTATAAAGCCTAAACTCTGGTTTCAACACTTTCCTCGCAGGTTTTGAACATTTCTTATAAAATGTATAATAATGAGTAGACAGGCCTTTGCACTAGGATCACCTTGGCCTTGGCCTTTCTTCTGGCCAAGAAAGCTCCATGGGTCCATTGAGAGAGACAACAGGGCTTCCATCTTTCAGATCCAAACTGATTTTTTTTAAAGGAATAAAACATGCTACCACCTGATTGCATGAAATGCCTGCAGGATTCCATTTGGCTTTTTATTCAGAGTCATTTATAACGTAAGTTATATTAGCATCTAGTCTGGGAACTCATTTTTATTAAATAATGAAGTCATAAGTAAACCTACAGAAAGTCTGAAATGCTCCTTGTGTTTCTGATGTACCATAGAAGTAAAATGCTGGTCACTTGGTTGTGGAAGACGATTTTCTTCATCCAAAATATCCAGCACGCCTACTAATTTTGCTTCAATCAGATCTATTTGTAAAACAGAAATCAACGTTTGTAAAAGTGCTAGATACAATTCCAAATCAGAACAAGAATGTTACACCAAAAATATAACCAACATGGTACTGCATAATTACTACAACCATCATAGTTTAGATTAAAGAGAAATGTAATCACTACCAGCAAGTCTGGCATATATTAGTATTGATTTAAGCAGTATTCTGTAGCTTGCTGTCCAGTTCCACCTATGAAACTGGGACGTGATGAAAGTGGAAACACACTGGTGCACAATGTCTTTTAAGTGTATACTGTTTTGATTTTAAAACTCTCAGATAGATTTCTCACTACACTGAATAAGAAGTATGAGAAAGGATCATATATCCATGACATCAACAAGAAAAGAGGATGACCAAAAGCTTAAAAAGCTGTACAGATTTCAGCATACTTACATCAGTATGGGGCCAGGCTGCTATTTAAAACTATGCCCTGTGAGGGCAGAGGACTAGATTTGATGACCTCTCAAGGTCCCCTTCCAATTCTAGTGTTCTATGATTCTATGCTGCTTTGAAAGTTTATATTAAAAACTCAGACACATATATATTGTTTTTGAAGACAGTAGCAATAAATATATTCACACTTTTATGTTTATGCTAAAGGAGTAAGAAATCTCAGGCCAGATGTACACAAAGGGATGTAGGTGCCTAAACTCCAGTTTTAAGTTCCATTTTTAAGCACCACTGAAATCCACAAAACCTCTTTTGGCTGATACCTAGCCCTGGAGGCACTGAAACTCACTCAATGCCTACATTTTTTACATATTAGTTCTTTAGGCATCTTAGTTTCCACAGAGGAAAGAAGCACGCAAACCAAAGTTGCCTTTATATTAGCAGAAAAAAACTTAAAGTTCTTTGAAATGCCATACATGTATCATCTCACATAATGAGCATTAAACTAAAAGATATGTGCCTAATAATCACACCCACAACTGTCACAGAGGACAGCATCATAAACCAGTTTTACTACGAACATCAAGCAGAAATTCCTGGAACCCCCGAACAAGTTTTTTTATTCACAGTCACAGAATCATAAAAATATAGGGAGGATTTTACTGCCATGATGGGGCATAACAACATGGAGTAGGAGAATTGGGAAAAGAAGGCATAGAAATGAGTGAGATGATGGATTGCTTCAATTCTCTGCTACCAACAATCCGTTTATAACACACAGCATATCAGCACAAAAGTTTCTAATGATGGTACTACCAAAAAAAAAAGTGATCAAAATCATCTTGGGCCACATCTATACTTACCCATGGATAAATGCTTCAGAGGTTGATCATCTGGCATTTGATTTAGATAGTCAAATAAGGACCCTCTAAATCCAACACTGAGGAGTAACGGAAACCAACGGGAACATTTTTCCTGTCGATTTCCCACTGAGGAAAGGGTGCAGAAGCTTGGCTTAAGGTACCCCAACTCCAGCTATGCAATTAACATAGCTGGAATTGCCTATCTTACTTCAAATTTATCCCCTAGTGTAGACCTGACCCTAGTAAAACACTGGAAAACAAGTAGACTAGACTGCAGGGTCTATAGAAGGCTACATACAAACTCAGGCAAGTGAGCAGTGATTGTTACAGGCAGGCTCCAACTTAACACTTTAAATTTTTCAAAAGATGACAAAAGACTCTATAGCCCCAAAGTTTTGAAAAATACAGGCACTTTCAGAACACCATCAGTAGCCACCTCGCCTCTCTCTCAAACCTACAGGACACAATAGAACAACAATTCTGGGAAAAGGCAAAATGTATCATTCCTGCCACGAGCAAGGAAATTTTAGGCATGAGGTTGTAGCCCAAAAAAGGAAAGATTAGGTGACACCAGCAACTGAAAATCTGTCAAGACGAAACACAAAGGCTGTGTCTACATTGGCATCCCTTTCCGGAAAAGGGATGCTAATGCGACACATCGCAATTGCAAATCCGCAGGGGGATTTAAATATCCCTCGCAGCATTTGCATTTACATGGCTGCTGCTTTTTTCCGGCTTGGGGATAAGCCGGAGAAAAGCGCCAGTCTAGACGTGATTCTCCGGAAAATAAGCCCTTTTCCGGAGGATCTCTTATTCCTACTTTCAAGGGCTTATTTTCCGGAGAATCACGTCTAGACTGGCGCTTTTCTCCGGCTTATCCCCAAGCCGGAAAAAAGCAGCAGCCATGTAAATGCAAATGCCGCAGGGGATATTTAAATCCCCCGCGGATTTGCAATTGCGATGTATCGCATTAGCATCCCTTTTCCGGAAAGGGATGCCAATGTAGACAGCGCCAAAGTATAGAAAGAAAGTCTGAAAGCTAAAGATTTCCCTGAGTGGAAAAGAGGAAAACAGGCAGCTCAACAATGAATTTAAAGGAACGGTTAAAAATAGAATCTATGGAAGACTGGCTTAAGAGAAAAGGCAAAGTACTTGAACAATACTTACATAAAGTAATGCTTGAGGGCTTTTTCAGAAAGTCAGATTACTATCAAAGAAGTTAACACCTGTAACAAGTCAGCCACACCATGCTCAGGGGAAGTACATAGCAGATAAAGATCAAAAGCTTAAAAGAAGGAAATAATATTTTCATCAGCTATTGAACATGAATAGTCTTTGAGGATATCAACTGTAAAGGCAACAACAAAGGTAGATGCATACTGGGAACAGAAACAAACAGCAATCATGCCCCTGAAAAACCATTCAGACTTGTGTAGAGATGGTATTCTGCCTCAAGTATTAAAACATAGAAGAAGGAGAAAGGATATGGCCCTTTACAAACTATTCAATCTCATTAGGGCAAAGGATGATGTCACTGAAAACTGTCAAAACTAAATTATTGTACCATTCTTTAAGAAAGGTGACCTGACAGCTACAGAGGAATCAATCTTAAGCACTCCTAGCAAGGTATTCTGTAGAGTGATACTCAGTCAAATGCAACGAACAGCCGAGTCACTAACTGGCTTTAGACCTGTATGGTCCATCATAGAATAGAGATCTGTTTGCACATAACATTTGGGGGAGGGGGGAGAGGAGAAGAGAGAGTTCAGTTAATCCATTTTGTACATTCCTTGACTTTCAGAAAGTATTTAACTTCGTTTAACAGAGAGGCTGTGTGAAAAGTACTCAAATGGTATGGTTTTAGTGGCAAATGGATTCAACTACCATGTCTGTCCAGCCTAGTTAGTCAGTGGTCAATCAATGGAATATTTTGAAGTGAAAAGTTGAATCAAACAGAGAAGGGATGTGTACCCAGTCCAATACTTTATGCTTAGAAAACATCTAGCCCTGGTCAACACTAGGAACTTATTCCAAAATAACCCCCCTCCCTTCCCGTTTCAAATTTATAAGTGATACATCCACACTACCAAGCCCATTATTTTGAAACAATAGGCTGCAGAATTCCAACTCTGTACTCCTGCTTTTCACGAAGAATAACGCCAATTCCAAAAGAGCAATTTCAAAATAACATTAGCATGGATGCTCCAGTGCTAATTCAAATTTATTGGCCTCCGGGAGGCCCCCTGCAACTGCCCAAAGTGCTTCCTGGGGCTGTAAGTCCAAAGTGACACATCCACATTACTGGAGCTTGCCTCGGACTAATTTCAATGTTTCCCCATAACGAGGACACACTAGTTTGAATGTGTTAAATCAGGATCTCTTAAGTTGCCTCCAGTAATTTTGAAATAGTTTCTTGGTGTAGTCATGGCCTTAACATTGTTGAAGACTGTATAATATTGGGGGCAAATTATCAATCAGCTGACTTTGCAGATAAAATTGTAATGATATTCCCAACAGAGGAATTCAATCAAGAAGCAGCAACTAACTTGTACCTCATACTCTGGATGTTGTGATTAAAAACAAATGAACAAAAGACCAAACTAAAGACAGCATCAAAAATCGAGCAATGGGCTAAACTAATTATCAATGGTATAGTCACCACAAACAAGTAGGTGGTTTGTGCTACTTGAGTTTCATCATAATATATGACAAATGATATGAAGATAACAGACATCTATTGACAGCAGAACGTTCGCATGCCGGAATAAAAATGATCTGATGCTTAAATCAGTGTCTATGACAATTAAAACTAGATTTATATAAAACACTTATTTTATCCACATTACCTTATGGTTGTGAAACGTGTACTGACAAAGAGCCTGGAGCAAAAGTCACAAACATTTGAAATGAGGTGCTTGTACCACTGGCATGGAAGTGGTTTCCATCATTTACAGTATAGTTCAATGGCGCTCAGCACCTCTATTATACAAATTGTTCCAGCACCCCAGCTGCAGATAACACTAGATAAACTAACGACTGGTAGCATCCACAGAAAAGTGAACAAGTTCTGCAAATGACTACAATTGGCAAAAGGTGTCAATTACAATGGCTTCATCAGGTTGCCAGAATGACCCAATACCGATTGCTTATGAAGGTTCTCTGTGGAGAAGTATATGGACAGAGAGGGGCCATGGTCATCCAGAAGATAGCTGTATGACACAGTATATGAAACCATCTATGAAACACCTTAATAATAGGCTGAAAGGGCAGCTCAATCCAACCTTGGCTTTCGAAAAATGATAATGATTTAACAACAACTGTCCAAGCCAACATAATCTACCTTTATTCTGTACCCTATTAAGATATTCATTGTAATTACCACTCTTGTTATAGAAAACTAAATTAAATTCAAGAGATTTTGGCAGAAGAATTCTTTATTTCTCAGAGGCAGAGAAAACTGTGCTTCCTTTTTTTCCCCAAAATACAGACATAACAAAACAATGTTATATATTTAAGGAGTCTACTGATTATAAATTATCAGAAGTCAGTGGAAGTTGTAACATTTTAGAAGGTGCAATATAAAGCAATACTCACATCTCAGCCTCAGATGGCTCCTTATTTTGAACAATGAGCAACACAAAAAGCAAAGCCTCAAATGAAAATGAATTTAAACAGAAGCCAGTGTTGTCTTTTCTTATCCATTTAGCTCAGATAACAGAAAGCCTTTTTCTGCTTCTCTGGAACATTTTCAGATACATAAATACGTATCTGAAACAATTAAAAATTACTTTTGTAAGGGACTAGAACCTCCTTGAGACATGAAAACATTCAAGGTAATCCAGATCAGACTATCAGATGGGGCTGGTTTAGTATTCATACAGGAAGAAAGCACTTTTCTCCATTCTACCCCTTAGATTTTCTCATCTAGACCATCTTCTACTGTTCTGTCACCAGCCAGCAATCATCTTTGCCTGACATGGCTACCAACGACCAATACAGAGCCAGGGATGCAGGTCAATGTCTGCCTACGAGGAAAGATATTTGAGCACATCTATAGATGCGCAGAAGGAACCACTGGTGACTCTGCCACTGATAACTGATGGGAGTATCCTGCCATCACCACTATTTCCCTAGATGTGGATTCTGAAGCTACCACAGTCAATGCTGCATTGAATTGTATGTCAAAGTCAGTTTTTTCTCATCATATTGCACAATCCAATTAGGATAAAAGAAGTTGGAAGCAGACAGACCATATTAATCCTTTCGTGTACTGAAAACAATAGCAATGCCTACGTTTTTATTTTGGTTTTGATTCACAGCAGCAAGTGGAAAGGAAAAATAATCTGACAAATTATAGTAAAACCCTCTGTTTTCAAATATTCAAAATTCCCTGCTTTGGTCCACGGATCTTTTAATCTCCTCACACAATGAATATATTGTTCTGTGTATCACACATTCTCTGCTTTGATTAATTTATTTGGAAAATTCCAGGGTAAGTACAATGTCTGAGTATGTAGTCATGTGCACCCAGCACAAGGAGACTCCATTACATATTGGGGTTCTGTGTGTTACTAGTATATAAATAAGACAGAAGAACCTTCCCTGAATTAACTTCTGCTAGAACTATTGGCCTACTCTCGGCAAAAGAAAACTTGCAGAGACTCTAATGAAATCTCTCCCTTTGACCTTGAGCAAGAACAACTCAGTGGGCAGAAGCACTTAGAGAGGTGCAAATCATCTACAACAATGGTCACAATAAAATAAAATAAAATAAAATAAAATAAAATAAAATAAAATAAAATCCCAATCTTGCAACTGAATCAGTGAAGAGACCTTTCCATCCATGGACACTAAAACCCCAAAGCAGGATCCACAATACTTGGATGGTCACTGTATGACAAAATCACTGCACTAAACACATTTTGTCTATTCTATCGAAAGCCACTGTGCTCCAGACTCATACAATTGTAATGAAACAGCAAAAACATTTCCTAAGTACATACCTATACAATCCTGATTATCTACATAGTGCACTTCATTTACTCCGAGACCTTCTTTCTGGTAAAGTTCTTGTTCCTAAAATAGAAAACGTAAAAATGTTTAGGAGAAAATTCTGTTTACCACAGTTTTTTTCATGAACCAAGAGAAAATTTTAACTTCTATAATGACAACAAAAAAACAAATAGGAGATTTTAAAGTGTTTGGATACACCTTAATATAGTTCCAACTCCATTTCCTTAACACTAGCAATACACATATGTATGTTAGATACATGAGGATAAAGTACTTTACTAAGATGTAAATATTTGACTTGAAAAAAATCATTTTCATGTGTTAGAATCATTTGGAACTCAGCAGTTTGTGAAAAATATTAGCAAAAATATTAACAGGAAAAACTGATCTTTCAATTTAACTTGTTTCTAGTTTCTTAGCAGGATAACTTATTACTTTCAAACATACAGGCGAACATTTTTTACAAGCCAAAAGAATATATTCTTGATATTCTACCTTCAGTCATACAAAGTATAGCAGAAGTCTCATGGAGGTTATAAAAAGTTTTTTAAAAGGTAAAATTTAAAACATTTTGTAATGAAGTTATAAGTTTTGGGGAGGGGTTTTTCATTTCCTTTTTTTCTAATTTCCAAGTTCTAAAATTGCATAAAATCCAATAAAACTCAATTATTCCTTCCCCTCCGCTTTTAAAAATGTACTATTTTGTAACTCAAATTTCTTTGTTAACACTACCCAAATATAACGGCAGGTGACCCTTGACAATAAACTGCTCAGTTTAATTTTTCTACTGGAAAATTTAATTTGGAATATTAAACATTTCCCAAATGTGCTTTTATTACCATTTATATTACAAGAGCAACTAGAAGGCCCAAACTAGGGTAGTTGGTTACGTAGTTTAATATAATATTTAACTGGTTGGTTAAACATAATGTTTAATCAGTTAACCAATTAAAGGAGGGAGGGCATGATTGGGCTAGGTCACTAGTTAACCAGAATAGGTGATGCTCACTGGTTAATCTTCACAACCCTGGCCCAAACAGGATTGTGGATCTATTCTTTTTCATGAAATATGAACATCCAGGTAGAAGGCACAGAGAATATTAAATGATAAAAACAAGTTGTGACCAATGCCCATGCAAGGCAGACAGGCTGGAATGGCAGGGAACTGACTAACAGCTTAGCAGCAGAAAGCGCTCACTTGCTGAGGCAGAGGAGTAAAACCAGGGGTGGTCAATAGTTTTTCAAAGGGGGCCACTTTACAAATTTCTGAAGTGGCCCTTGGCCGCCCCAAAAGGGGCAGAGCCAGGACACTTCCTATGCTCCCCTCCCCATAGACCCTGATTGGCCTGGAGGTGGGGAAGCACGTGACGTCTTGCTCCCCCCACCCCTCCCGGCTGCATGCATAGAGAGAACTGCAGGCTGTTCTGAACAGCTGGAGGTTCCCTCTAGTTATTGCGTACTCCTGGCAGCAAGAGGACACTTTGGCCTGGGGGCAGCGGGAATGCACAATCAGGGTCGGTGGGCAAAAGAGTGCGTGAAGTCTTTGCCCTCCGTCCCCAGTATGCAAGGGGCACACAGCATCTAGACTGACCTGCCAGCTGTCCTGAACAGCTGGCAGTTCCCTCCTGTGCCATGCACCCCCCGGTGAGGAAAGGAGTGTTTATGTGCTCTCCCTGCCCCCAGGCCAATGAGGGTTTGGGGGCATGAGAGCGTGTAAAGTCTCTCGCCTCCTGCCCCTGCCCTGCAAGGGGCATGCAGTGCCTAGAGTAAACTGCCAACTATTCTGAACAGCTAGCAGTTCCCTCTAGTGCTGCGCACCCCTGGTGGGGTAAGAAAACTTCACATGCTATCCCTGTCCCCAGGTCTCATTGGTCTGCGGGCAGGGGAGTTGGCAGGGCAGCCGCAGGCCAGATCAACAGGCTTGGCAGGTCGGATCCAGCCCGCAGAAGCTCTCTGGCCCACTCCTGAGTAAGACAGTGGCTTAAAGTTCAGGGAGCCCTGCACAAAGTATCTCAGTGATGTAGTCTGGACAGAATTTACCCCCTGTAGACAGGTTGGATGAGATTCACATTTCAAGCACTGATAAAGCAGATTTTTCAGTATAAACATTGAGAACCGTCAAAAAACTGTTTTTTGTTTTCTCTTTCTTTCCAGCAATAAAAGCAAGTATAAAAAGGAGCAAAAGCAAAACATCTAAGAATTAGACATAGCCACACTGAAGAACAATGAGAGAAAGAATGAGCAGCTGTGACAGCAGTGTATGAGTACCAGAAGTGGGAAGCTGAAAAGAGAGCCTGTGGAAGCATACCAGTGGAACCCTGGCAGAGGAGACAGCTGCCCACCAAAGAATCGTGGAACTGAAATAGTGGGCAACCCAGTGAGAGACAGAAACAGTGTTCCCTGTAAACTAAGCACTTGTGCAGCCACTCAGGAGACATTCCAATGCTGCCCAACTGATTAGTAGAGAGCCCATGGCTAGAGTTTTTGTTTCTATTAGTGATGCACACGAACATGCCTTGGTGCACATTAAACATTTATTCCACACATAGATGGAAAAGATGAAAGGAACATTGGAAGGAAAGTCAGAGTAACCTGAGCTGGCAGGAAAAGCATGGACTGATCCCACAGGTCCCAATTGTTCCCTCCTCTGTACAAGGAGCATCCAGCTGAGAAATTCTCTCCTGTGTATAAAGTATCAGATAGTACTGAAGAATACTTAAGTACTTTTGAAATACTGTGCAAATTACATACAATTCCAGGAGCCCAGAAAGTCCTCATAGTGGTTGCAAAGCTCTTGGGTGAAGCATTAAATGAGTTTAATGAAGTGGAAACTGAACAGGGTTTGAAGTATGATGAATTTTAAAAGGCTGTGTTGCAAAGGTTTCAAATTACCCCTTAAGCATACAGGGTGAGATTTAGAAACCTCTGAAGAGTCGCAGAGAATGTGTGTATAAAATGTATGATCCGACGAACAAAGGAGAAAAGTGGATGATTATAACAAGTTATTTGACCTCTTTGCATAAGAACATTTACTGAGCATTTGCTGTGAGATCAGAGAAGCCATTTGGGATAAATCTTTAGGTTCTGTACAGGAAACAGTTGATCTGGCTGTTTCCTATGAAGAAGACAGAACAGTCAATGAGTGCAAGCCACAAAGGGAAGAGCAAACACAAGGGAAACCCCATTTTACCCTAGGAAAAGGAAGGATGATTGGATACTCTCCAGAACCAACCCCTATCACGGGAATCCCATTTACAGATCCATTCACAAGAGGATGGTCTAACAAGGTGTTACATATGAAACTCCACTGAACACCTAAGGGACAGTTGATGTAAGCAAAGGGAATCCAAGTCCACACACATCCAGCCCATGAGTGGACCAGGCTGGCATCTGTAGCAAAACAGAAAGTGGGGTCCATGTGATAAGAGAAGGGAGCAGACAAGTAGCAAAAGACAGTTGTGAATCACAACTCTGAATGTGTTCACATTTGCTCTGATTCGAAAGTCAGTATCTACTCTCAGTTTAAGAAGTGATTCTTCTGATATCCACTGAACTAGCTCTCTTAACATAGATGTAGAAAAGCAAATATTAGGAGCTCTTTCACTGAATTAGAAGGAACATAACCTTCAAAAGATGCAAGACACCCTGCAAACTACGTATCAAGAAAGCTGCTGGTGCCAAGATAAAATGAACTCCATTGAATGTCTATTGGCTCACCTATAGAGATGTATATCTTTAATTCAGAATTTTCAGCCAGTATATATGCAAATTAAAATTCAAAGGCACCAGACTTCTAAAACTCCATGCATAGACAGTGAAATTTGAAGAACTCGGGAATTCCCATAGGTTCAGAATAAACCTTTCAGGTAACTCCAACATTCATCTTGTTGAAGGTATCAATAAGAATAAACAGAATAAATTAATTTTAGAATTTCTATGCCAAGCTGTTCTAAAAATATAAAATAGAGAAAAAAGTTAAGGTACTTTTAAGGGACTGTGAACTCATGTTTCCACATTTCTGATCTTGCCAAGTATCTTGTCCTATAACTCCTCAGATTTGTGACAAAACATTATTCCTATATGTCACCAGTCCACAAGGATATTGAGCCAGATTGATTTACTTTTGACAAAATTGGAGGGAAGCATTCAGATGGGGCTTATATGAGAAACAATTAAACTTTAGATACATTTTGCAGAAATCATCCTGTCTCCAAAATTCTACTTAATTTCAATGTAGTAAATTCTGAAGCCATTTCAAATTATAAGTCACCAAATGAAACGATCTAAACTGTTCAAACTATTAAAATTATTTGATTATACATTCAAATGCCACTTTCACCTGCACAAATCTTGGAAGCTGTGAGTATGCATCAATTACTACTTTTCAACGTATTGTAATTTTAATTAAATAGTCTTCTAAACACTCACATGAATAGGCAGATAATAGTTCACTTCCTTATTATTACCCCATCTTAGTAAATTTGTGTCTTCAATAGACTACTAGGCATATTGCTAAATATATCGTCTTTTCTTTGGACAAACTGGAGAAATGGTCTGAGGTAAATAGGATGAAGTTTAATAAGGAAAAATGCAAAGTATTTCACTTAAGAAAGAACAGGCAGTTTCACACAAAGAATAGGAAGTGACTATGTAGGAAGGAATACCGCTGAAAAAGATTTAGGGGTCATAGTGGAACTATGCAAAAAACCCCAAACCATCATTCTGGGATGCATTAATATGAGTGTTGTAAGCAAGACATGAGAAAAAATTCTTCTGCTCTCCTCTATGCCATGATTATAAAGTCACTTTCTGATTGTCGAATTTGTTATTTTAGTGACTTACATAGCAAATGTTCTCAGATCACAAATCAACACAGACCTAAAATTAAAAATAAATTCTTTCTTGGGGATGACAATAAAGGCCCAATGAGCTCGATTCCATCTTGCTCTGAGCTTCTAAAAAGCCTTGCACATTTAATCCAGTGTTCAGGGAAGCCTCTTCAATCTCCCCACTTCATTACTCTTCTTTAGAAATATGATAAATTGCTTTAACATTCATGCCCGTATCCCTTTCCTATCTCACTCTTCTATATTACAGGTAGTCAGAAGATAAGGCATGGTTTCTGAGTCTTGCCCTTCTCAGGTTGCCCCAGCTTGAGTACCAATGGTCCTCTACCAAGTTTAACCAGCAGTTTTTATGTTAATATGTTGGTTTTCAACAAAGTCGTTTCAATATTCAGCAGAAATGCCACCTGAACAGATGTGTTATTTTAGTTTTTATTCAATATTTGAAAACCCTAAATCAGTTTCAAACATACAGATTTCTAACAAACAGCACTACCTGTTGAGAATCGGTTGGCTCTGATAGCACTATTTGAAGAGAAAGTATTTTGTAATTAAGAGCTTATGGACTTCTGAAAGCTAAGCAGGGAAGTTGGAGAAGTGCCAAAACACTGTATAGTCATGGGCCACATGCAGTTTAATAAAGGCCTCTGAATTCTTTCCTTTTACATGGGGAAGACAAGAAAAGCCAAAAAAATGATACGTTACAGATTCCACCTTGTAGTCTTCTTTCAGATCCCTCTTAAGATATCTTCTCTGCCAAAAAGCCTACACTAAAAAATGGTGAGGCATTTTGTGTGCTGTGACCAGTTTATCAGACTGACTAGTATCATGTCTGTTTCCTTGCATACCCCCTCCCAGCCATCTGTTGCCTATAATCTCATATTCAGATTATAAACTCTTCAGATCTAGGACTGTCTCCATTATATGTATATTCTGCCTCTGGCCTATAGATGCTAACATACTACCATTAATAATAAGAGTTACATAGTACAAGAAGATGTGAGGTGTACTGCTCTTAATGCACGTTTGAGACGATGAACAAGACACTGACCAACTTAGACTGGGAAAGAATTTCACATGTACAAGTAAAAAATGGTTAAACCAAGAATACATCCCACCTTACGCAGTACCACACAGACACACAAAATTCTTTATTTGTAATTAAAAGGAAAATTAGCAATGCTTTCCATAAATGTTGCTATTTCATACGCCCTTATCTAACTTTTCTGAAAAGCCAGTGGATGACTCAGACAAGAAGTGGGATATAAATTACCTCTTTTAGTATCCTTTCATTGAAGAATTGCTGCAGCTTTTCATTACAATAGTTAATACAAAACTGTTCAAAACTGTTGTGTTCAAAATATTCTGAAAAAAAATCCACAATGTTAAACTGCTTTAAATTATGATAAATTAGTATTTTGAAAATTTAGTTATACAACATTAGTGGGGAGAGGTTAATAGAGTTAACATCTTTGCATCAAATTCTTATGTTCAGATCCATGATAATCATATTCAATGAAGTGGTTTTGATGCATCTCATAGGTACCAATAAGAAGATGGGCATAATCCAAAAATAAAAAGGATGTAAAAGTTCATGTTTCTGGAACCAACAATCTGCAGACAGTTTTTTCTAGATCTCATATGCCCCAATTCAAGCCTGGTATAATAATACACAGCAAGAATGCAGTGGAGCAAGGCTCTTGTCTCCACACTACCATCCAAGCAACTTCTCAACACGACCTTTACAAGAGCCTACCACCTGTGGCTCCAATGACCAAGACTGTGGTGGCTAAGGTCCACAATAGCTTCCTTCTATTGGTGGTGTACTTCCTCATCAGGAGAGCTTCCACCTACTGAAGAAGGATAGTTGGGATGTGTTGAGAACCAGGGCACTTAGCTCTGCACTGGGCAATGAGCTGCCCCACAGCTGCCTGCTGGGAATGTGGGGGAGGGGCAGCCACCCAGGCTTCTCATTTTCCTGAGTGGGGAACCTCCAGGCAGCAGCTCTGCACTGGGCAATGAACTGCCCCACAGCTGCCTGCTGGGAATGTGGGGGAGGGGCAGCCACCCAGGCTTCTCATTTTCCTGAGTGGGGAACCTCCAGGCAGCAGCTCGGCCAGGAGTGGGAATCTGGAGAGGGTGGGGGGCGGGAGGAGCTGAGCTCTAGCTACCTCGCTTTCTTGTCAGTTTCATGGCTCCATGAAGAGTATGGAGCCACAAAACTGACAAGATTGCCAACAGGTGATTAAATAACAATCAGGGTCTTCATTAACACTGCATCACCCTAATGACACCAACATAAGCGCTACATCTCCAGTGAAGATGGAGTTACTCTGTTTGTGTAGTCAGGGAACTTGCATCAGTGGGACAAGGCTGTACTGAATACTCTGACATAATTAGACTGATGTAAGACGCCTTATATGGACCTAACAGTGAACCATTCACCAGCCCTCAGTCTCTTTTTCATCTGCATGTCAGTCAATATACGCCACTCCCCCTAAGACTGTATGAGCGCAGTCGTTGCTACTCCTGATCTCATGGGCTGACCAGAATTTGACTCCAATCAAGGACTAGGGAAGGCTCGGGCAGCTCATTACAGCTTTAGACTGACACCTCTATGGAGAAAGGCAAGCCTCAGAATAGTAACTGATAGTGCTGCTGTTAAGACTTGAGAGATCATGAAAAAGATGGAATGGATGAGATTGTTAACAGTAAGTGCTGGTAAATGCCAGTTAAATTGATGAAAAAAAATACTTCCATACATAACAATTAAAATTTACATATTGGCAAAATAAGAAAAATGCTACTTAAGAACATGATCCAAGGACATTTATTTAATACATTTTCACATGTCATGTTGCCAATTTATTTCAATGGTTATAAAACTAACTTTTTGACTCAACATTTACTGTCACTAAATTCTTGTACTACCCCTTCCCTGATAACTTCCCACATCTGCGAACCTTTAAATCAATTAAAATGGAAAAACAATGCTTTAAAAAAATCTATATTTTACACCAAAACTGTAAAAATCAAATTCTGCCAAGCTACATCTGGGAACTTACTTGGCCTCAAACTGCACAGGCTAGATAGAGCTATACACAGGAAAAAGCAGCATCTGTGTAGACTCCTCAAGTCCAGTTCCAAAAAAACCATCCTGTCCAGCCTCACACTTGTGATTTAGAGATTCTGGTATCACCTTGACAAACTCCTCTACACCTTCACATCTCAGAATTATCTGAATGGTGTCACTATCATTAATATACTACTGTGTGTACACACAATGTGGGTAGTTAAAACAAATTATAAAAGACAAGACAATCCAAGAAATTTTTACCCCTAAATCATGTATGCATCACTGCAGCTGTGACAGAAGCAGAATAGAAAGATCTGATTAAACTATCTGAGAAACATAACATTAGTAAAAAAGAGCACTTACCAAAACCAGCTATATCTAGAACACCAATGAAGAAAGAAGAGGTCTCAAATGGAAAACATAGATTTACTCTGTTTACCACATGATCAAAAAGATGACTATAAACAGTTTTTGCCAAGGCATCACGTGCATTGTTTGCTTGTTCTACTTTCAAGGGTACCCTAAAGAAAAAAAAAAGACATCATTAAGTTTCCGAATCTTTTCATCGTTAAGTACTTGACGCTGCAAGAACGGAGGAAGAAGTATTTTTATTAAGGCATAGCACCAGAACACTGAAAACCTAGGCACTAGTCCCAATTAAGACACAGTCTTCTTGTGTGATCCAATCACTCTCTGCTTAACAATACTAGGATAGATAAATCTTCGCAACCATAGGCATGTTGTGAAGATAAACTCACATACCACAGTGGAAAGTGCAATAGAAATACATAATTCAATACAACAAAAATATTCATCCGCTACCACTACGGTGATGTCATCATTTCATTTTTGCTTTGTTTTTATTATAGCTTTTACAAAGACTAGGACATCTCTTCCTCAGTAGTGGGAAGGGAGACACCAAACTAAAGCGAAATGTCAATTTGTTTATATGCTAAAAAGGAAAGTTTGTTTTCTTAATAGTCTGGAAAAGGAGAACATGTCCTTTGGCTTTTCATCCTTTGATTCTCAGCCCTTACATTGCAATGTGCTCTTATAAGTCTATTTCCCAGCTTCACATTCTTTTTCTTGGTTTTACAGTTTAAAAAAAACTGTTTATAACATCAAATGTTACAAAATATATGCTCAAAAAGATTCCAAACGCAACTGTGTAAATCTAAAGCCAGTTAACTAAACCTATGTTTGAATGCATTTTAAAATGCCTATTTATCATATTGGCTTTATGAAGTAGCTGTCCAATCTCCTGAGAACATAAATCTTTTCAGAGCTCTTTGAAAGATTTACATATGAAAAATTACATAGGAATAAAGGCATTACATCATCTGGACATCACAAAAATATTGCTAAGCCTACAGAAATCCATCAAAGAGTGAGATATTTACATGCACAATAAGTTACACATGTACAGCTATTACTATAAACCAACACACTACTGGACATATTGGAAAAGGCAACTCACGCAAAGAAATGTTGAGCTTCACCCAAAGTCCAAATATGGAAAATGATTTTGATGTATTTTAATGTGGGGGAAAAAAAACCACCCCACAAAACATATGCTCAGCCCCAAATCCTATCACTGAATCAATCAGAAAAACTCCCACCATCTTCAGTGGTTCAGGATCAGGCTAAGCAAAATTTTGCATGGAAAATTTTAAATCCCCAACAAAATATGCCATAAACTTCTTTTAAAAGAAAAAATTAGAAGGTATCAACAGAGCTTTGCCGATAACGGTTACTACAAGTTTGCGCAGGGTAAGAAAGGCCTGGAATTTAATTGTTCTTAGCAGAAAGACTACCCTTCAGACCTTCAAGTAGGAGTGGGAGGAATGACTGTTTGGCTGGGTGGCTGAATGATGGGAACAAGGCTTTATGCTGGAAGGGTTGGGGTGAGGGAAGAAGAAAACAGCTGCAAAAGGGGTCAGTGTGGTCACTAACTGATGCCCTAGTAATTCAGGGTTTAAAAAGGGACAATTCTGCACCTAAAGCCTCCCTTTTACTGTTGAAGCAGGCCCTGCCTGCTCTGCCTCCCCTTTAGGTGGTATACCACCAGGCTGGGTCAAGATCTGCTGTGGGCATTACCCATGTATCTTTTTTGTAAGAGGCTGGAAAGGAACTTTTCCTTCGTGCTAGACTAGACTGGGTGAAGTCTAGTTCTTTAACCTTCTCCAAAGCGGGTCTAGGAAGGGTTGTGTTCATGCATGGCATAAAGGGTGGAAGGCCATATGTCGCAACTCTATTTAAATGAAGCACAGATGACTACTGCAGGTATTCCATAGGGAAGGCATACAGTGATTGGCAAATGATTTGGAGAAGGACTCAAAAAGAGTTAGGTCAAGGAATGAAAATGGGGTGGTTGGAGACACTGTGACTGGTATAACAAGAGCCACCCACCCCCATTCTTCTAGCCCTCCTTAACTCCCCTACGATGGGGGTAGATGGTAATGTCCTGGCAATGGATTTGCTGGAGGGACCTGGATGAAAAAAATAGGTGCCAGCAATAAATTTGCAGGAGTGACCAGGACGAAAAAAAGGGGTAAAAGTCCTCTGGGTAATTATAGAATAAACATGGGGTTACCTGCACTGTACACTTATCTGCCACGTCAAATGTCTCCTCTCCTTCCTTGGGCATAGCCAAGCAACAACTGTATATCTTTGTGTTTAAAAATATCAGGCATAAATTGGGATGAGTTGAATGGCTACAGGCATTGGCAATTATGCTGGAACTAAGGGTGCTTGGGTGGCTGCTGTACCTCTTGCCTGGAAGGAGTAACAACAAACACCAAATGCATAAGTTCCATGGTCTCCTTCATCAACACCCCAATCCCATGTTCCACGCCCATGGGCATTGTTATTTGAATATGGAACTTCTCAAATGAACAAGAATACCGTCAGCCCCAGCCTCCATCATAACTAAAACATTTGCTATTGACATCCAAGTAAGAGGTCAAGGATTTTACAATTATGAAGCATTAGCTACCGTATCACCGATACAGAGTTCTCTTTCAGTTTGGGCTGAGAACAACTGATAGCTATACGGTGTAAGCTTACTGACTCTGACCTATCTACATCATGGTAGTTCTGTATATCTATAGCAGTGTTAGTCTCCTTTCACAAACACTACATTCTCTAAAAAAATGTTATCAAAGACAGTACAGTACTTCTAATGTAGGAGATCACTTTCTATCATTAATGAGAAATTAGGAAAGCAAAGACTCCATTCATTATGGACAACAGCAGCCACATTACATTAGACAGTAATTAGCCTTAACACAATCTCTTCTTCCACTAAGTATCTCCTGATTTATCTTATGGTAACAAGTACTGACAGGAATCTGATCTTATAAATAGAGGCAAGGTACCTTTACATTCCCTTTTGATATATTTAAGAGATCAGCCTGGTAATCTTCACAACAATTCATGTCAACTGCAGCTCTCTTATATAATCTAGTATACCATAATTATTTAAGATGGTAACAGCTTTATCTAAAAGGTATGTAAAGTGTTATACAAAACTGAGGCATTAAACCACTAACATGTGTAGCTAAGAAACTGCTACAGTGTTTATTCTATTAAAATATTATCAAGATTGAACTGCTGCTGCAGTGTTAATTCCAGGACTGCACAAAACAATTACCAGGAACACTTACTGCAAACAGAAGAAACCCATGGAGAGAGAAATAACTGGGTCTACAAATGCATTTTCATAGTTTAGAGCACAGAAACCATAGAAGAATTATAATCTAGCATCAAGAGACTGCAATGTGGTTGGAGAGTTATTAGGTACTAACACAAAGTAAAAGGCAAAAGATTTGGGCAATCTGAAGAGAAACTTAAGTACAGGCAGTCCCCGGGTTACGTACAAGATAGGGACTGTAGGTTTGTTCTTAAGTTGAATTTGTATGTAAGTCGGAACTGGTACATATTGTAGGGGAAACTCTAGCCAAACATTTCTCCAGAGCTCAGTTTTATTCTCCCACACCTCACTTCCCTCAGTCCTTTATTTTCAAGCTGAGGTGTCTGCTGAGAAAAGCCGCTCCGCGTCTCCCTGGTCTGCTGGGGGGGTGGGGCGCTAGCTTCACATCTCCCTGGTCTGCTGGGGGGAAGCAACTAGTGCGGGGTTGCCTCACCCCGTTTGTAAGTAGGGATCCGATGTAAGTCGGATCCATGTAACCCAGGGACTGCCTGTATATGTAATAATGCAGTATCATCATACTACTTACTACTTTCTTCCCTCCCAATCCCTGTTTTCTTCATCCTGCTGAGCTGAAAGTAAGAAATCTCTTTCTTCCCTTTTCTTGGTTGGTAGGAAAGAAAGCTTCCTCTTACTCTTCCCACTTTCTCCTTCAGTCTTCACTTTCCATACTTGTAAGAGAAAAGGGAAGAATTCCCTCCCCAGCTTTTTCTGGCTTCTGAGATGCAGCAAATGCATTTCCTACAATAGAGGTCATTTGATCGGTGCTCAAGTGTAAGGAGACTTTTTTGTGATCCAAAAATCAGATCAAGATTGAGAGTAGTTAGTACCAACTGCTTGTGAGCTCTATGTTGTAACACACCTCTTTAAAAATACGAGATATGCCTAACAGAAAATACCATACAAAATACAGATTGCATGCAGTCTTATGGATTAACAGTGAGAAAAATTAAACCTTAGCTAAGAATGAATAACAAGAAAAATAATAGAATTACTATCCTTCCAAATGTATTTCTAATAAAGACTACTAATATCATGAAGTGCAAAACACACATGTGGTGCTACTACATGACTAAGCAAAGAAAAATACCATTGTAAAACATTTTACACTTTATCATCCTCTCCAAGCAGACTACCTTGCACGGTTCTTGTGTCAAAGGATGAATGGAGGAAGAAAAGCTGAATATCCAACAATACCAATGTGCATTCATTTTGAGAGGACTAACAGATTTTATATCCGAACACATTATTTCTACCTGTAGATATTCTGGATATGCACTGCAAGACATCAGCCATTGCTCTTTCAGGGAGGCTAACAAGGACAGATAAATTTAGTGTTACTGGCAAGTCCCCTTGGCATGTCCACTTCAGATTAATATTTAATGAAGTGATGAAGAAAGCATTTGACACAGTCTTTCTTGCTGACTCTATTGTGCACAGCAGAACATAACCTTTCTTATGCTCTGGGCACAGATACTTCAGCTGAGCTATTTATTCATTAAGACCTATTAATTCTCATGTTCTTCAATGTTCTTAGGATTTACATTTCTTTAAATATAGGAGAAAGCATTGTTGTATAATTACTGTAAAGTATTATTTTTTAACATTTTCACTAGTAAAGCCTAAATATTTTATGAAAATCTAGTGCACATGAATTGGCTTCCTTTGTAGATTCAATAAAGCACAAGAAAAAGAGACTAGTTTATTAGTGCGTGGTTTTCTTCGTTAAACAACTTTAGAAAAAAGCTGCAGCATAGGACGTAATGCATTGATTTCAAGTTGACAGAGCTGTTCCTTCTAACCCACAAAGTAAAATGCTGTGAAAACTAAGCAGTTAGAGATCAACTGGCATAACAGTATAGCCACTTAGGGTTGCAATCTTTTGAAATAACCCTGACACAATGCTAACAGGTGCTACTAATGAAAACATGCCGGATTCCTACCCAAGATACGTATACAGGCCTGGCAGTTTAAAAACAATCATTTTAGTTGTAAATTGAACAAATCTGATCTGGAAAACCATTATAACAGTCATGTTTCAGAGAAAGAAAACCACAGTGACATTTGGAACAGCTCCCATATGTGAAGATGCTAAAGAAATTAGGGCTCTTCCATCTTAGAGAAGAGACAACTAAGAGAAGATATGATATCCTCTCTACCTATACTTCAAGCTCACTTGCGGATATTAATAGGAAGCAGGCTTAATATAAACAAGAGGAAGCAATGTTTTCACACTGACTACAATTAAGTGGTCCAATTCGTTGTAACTGGAGGTTGGGATGAACAAATGTATAACAGCGTTTAAAAAAAAAAAAAAAACACCTAGATAAGTTCATGAAAGATCAGCATTGGTTATTAGCCAAGAGGGTCAGGGATTCATCCCCGTGTTCTGGGCATCCCTAAACATCCAACTGCCAAAGCTGGGAGAGGAAAACAGGAATCAATCATCCCATAATTGCACTGTTCTATTCGCTCCCCCTCAAGTTCTGGTACTGCTCAATGATGGCGACCATGGGCCTTTAATCAGTACCAGAATTCTTATGCTCTTAAAACATTTTTGGGAAAGCTGGTTCTGCCTGCTCCAAAGGATTTGGAACACTCCTTCACAGATACCTCCTCCCACCCCTGCCTATATCCCACCCCACTGTAATTATTACCTTCAGTGGCCATCCTGAAGTTCTCACTATTGAGAATGTACAAGCAGTATGAAGTGTTCATAGCATTGCCTCAAGACTCTGATCATTTATTCTAACCAGAAATGAGAGGGAAGGCCACACATAAAAAGCCACTTCATATAATGAATTACTGGAAGAAAGATGCAGGCTAGAAAGCACACATATTATGGAGTGCAGAATCAATCTTAATGGAGACCTACAATACTGAATCTGCATTAGTAAGATTCATGCCTGGAGACCATCCTAAATAGCCTTCAGTCAAGAAGCAGGCCTCAACTTTACTTAATTTACAAAAAATTCTCTACAGCAGTTCAAACAACAGACTTGCCTATATTCATGTTGTGGTGAGCAACTGCACTAGATCCCTAAAGTTCAAAGTAGAACCAGAAAAATCCAGTGACTCCAAGTACTTTAACATCTTTTCACTTCATAAGTGTGATATAAAATAAATGTAAAATAAAAGACCATAGTGTGATGTCCCAAAGTTAAACCAAATTATTGTTCATGTTCCCAAATCATTTGCTATTTTGCATAGGTATATACCACTTATTCTATTTTTGAAACTATTCCAATGTTTAGTGCCACAAAATAGAAAACATGTAATAGCAATGAGTAATATTTTACATCTCAAGTTATTTAAATATTTAATAAAAATCTATATAATAAAAAGAACTACTAAATACTATTTATTTTTAACAGGTACATTTTATATCATTTAGTAAAATCTAACTACTGAAACAATTACCACAAACAATCAGTACAACCTCCATTACGTACAAGATAATATTTCCCACTTCCATCTTCATTTGCATCTTGAAAGGTGCAGCCCACTTTTTATTAAAGACACTGTATTTGCCCTTATATTTTAAGTAAGCATTATCATCCTAATATTGATTCAGGTTATACTGTACTTAAAAGTGGTTAAGCATTCACCTACATGGCTGGCCCTTTCTGAAGCATATAAACAAAGGGCTGAATTATCTAACAATTTACTTTTTTTGCTCATAACTGCAATTTTTATTACATGGATACTATCCACCTGCTATAGCTGAAGATGGGGATGAGAGAATAAAAATGCCCAGGGTGGTAGGTATTTTATTTACTGTTTTCAAGTACTTTGGTAAGAGAAAATGTACTATTTATCATATTAAAGCAATAAGAAAGACTGAGAAATCCTGAATCAAAATCCATGTTTTAGAAACTATTTACAGACAAGCAGATGTGTGTTCAACAATGAAGAGCTGTTAACAAAAAAATCAATAATCACCTTTGCAATTTATTTTTAAATGGGCTACTTTTGCATTTAGAGCTGTATAGTGCAGTGATCTGAACTTACTTTATAACTGTTCCTTTGGTGCCCCCTGCTGTTGTAAGCATGACTCTCGTGGTTAAGCTGATACGCAGATCATCCTGATCCAAACCTAGCAATTCTGCACAATATTCTAAAGACTGACTAGATTTGTTCTTCAGAATACATCCACCTAATGAACAAGTTAAGAAAGGGTGTTACAACAAAACCAGCTGAGATAACAATTAGTGTCTATATATTTTTTTAAAAGCATCAATTCATAACTGTCAGACCCTTCAATGTTCACCTTTATACTATTGACAATTTAGCATTTGCACACTATTTCCAAGATGTTTGAGAAATATAAACAATAAGTATAATATTATTTAGCTATTCATTAACTGTTCATTGCCAGGCATCAAAATATTTGAATTCTTTAAATGCCTAATAGTTTTGAGAGTAAATGTAATGCCTGGGAGTAAACTGGTCTCAACTGAAATGCCACTTTTAAACATAACTTTTATAAATCAAGTCTTTGTATAAATGCATATCAAAAGTGGAGTCCTACCCCAGACTAATGTATACAGTCCATCAAAGCTAGACTACCTTTCTGCAAGTTTCAGCGAATCTGATAGACACTGTACGAGAGTACATAGAGGGAGAATAGATGGGATTTTACTCACATTTTTTACCTCAAAGATTTTATTCTAGAAAACAGTGTGAACTGTAAATTTAAACAAATGACACTGCCCTTCTAGATTCTCCTCCATCTTCTCCACTCAGATATTCCATGTCTTCAGGCCTCTTCAACTCATTCTTCCTCCCTATCTGTCTCCTTTCTTCACCCCTCTCTACCACACTCCCTTGGAGTAACAAACTGCCCCTTACTACACCCAGCTCAATGCCTATCTCTCTCAGCCTTGTCTTCTTTATATTTTCCACACCCCATTTATGTTTGAATCAGGAAGAAATTTCTCTAACATTACTCTTTACTTGTCTCTCTCTCAGCCTTGTCTTCTTTCATATTTTCCACACCCCATTTATGCCTGAATCAGGAAGTAATTTCTCTAACATTACTCTTTACTTGTACTCCAAATATAATTCTAAACGTTCCTCTATACACTCATTCAAATATGAATGTGGTTGTGCAGGTAAGGGAAGAAATTTTAAAATAACCCTATCTTGACACCTTTACACATACACAATTCTGCACAAAGAATATTAGATAGCAGTTAATTTAATAATCATGTAACCACATTAATTTTTTGCAGTTACACAATTATCCAATAGCCCCAAGGGGCAAGGCCAGCAGCCAGTGTGCTCCCGGTCCTACTCCTGGGGAACCCCCTGATACAGAAGCAGCAGCTTGGGGCGGCATCAGCCCCGTCTGCAAGGAGCATGGGCCTGCCATGGACAGAAGCTGCTCTATGGCAGCCTCTTCTTCCCCCTCCTCCCTCGCACTGTTGTCTCTATCTGCTGCCTCTTAAGCTAGCTCCCCTGACCACTAGCTCCTGCCTGCCCCTACCCCTCTATGGGAGGCAGCAAGGGAGAAGTGGCTTCTTCAGCAGCTGATACACGTGGGGAATCAATAGAATTAATTAATAAACCCAGGCTTATCAGTTAATCGTGCCTTACAAAGCATTTTTCTATCATGGACAAATTCAATGCGTGTCAAGATTGGGGTTCTCTGAAGTCCCGTCCAAAAACAGAACAGCAATAACTAAATTGAAAAACAAGAAGGATACCAAAAAATGATCAACAGAACCTAACAAAAATCTCGTAAGTATCACAGTAAGATTACCAGTTTCACAGTTGTTCCTAACTTCCACTTCCCAGCCTTCCTATACTATCAATTTATATCTCTGCTGATTGGACTCTATGTACTCTCTTTCCTACCAATTTTAAGACTATAAAGATGATTATTATGTATCTTTTTAATGCACTCTTACTTTCTTCACCCTAAAATTACTAAAAAGGAAGTTATTTCTCCATATCAAAGTAAATAACCAGGTCCCTAAGATAAGAAATGGTGGTGATAGGAGTAAAAATCAAGCTAGGAATTTTTAAAAAATTGCTTGACAGGTAAATTTTCAAAATACAGCAGTGCAAAAATACCTTTTCTGACTTGTATCAAAAACTTTCCAGGAAATTTTCTAGAAACATTTTCATGGGGACTAACTATGTTTGTAAATTTTTTGATAAAATTAGAAAACTGTACTTCAAAAGAAGAGGTTGATAATGCAGAGCCAGATTCATCGTGGCTATGGAACAGATATTGAACAGGATTTGCTTCAGAATGCAGTGTGCAGTTCACCTCAGTCATCCAGTCAAAAAGCTCATACACTTTTAGACTATCATAATTAAAAAAATTCATCTAACCTGAAGTACTCCCAGCTTCCTCAAAATCAATATTTCCAAGGTGAAGGACACCAGCTACTACTCTGAACAGATCAAGTTTCTCTGCATCATCCAAGCCAATCTTTTTCATTGCTGTGCACATTCTGTTGAAGTCTCCGTGGTCATCTAGTAGCGGATCCTTCAGGGAACCTGCTTTTATGTACTATTAAAAAGAGCAAGAAAAGCAGACAATTTAATCAAATGATTAAATTCAGCTTATGAACAAGCAGCACAAAACATGCAAAAACAAAACTATAAACCAAAGAAAAGGATTAGAGCTGTTACTATGTATACATGCTTAAAAATACTATGACTTCCTTTCAAGGGTCCAGATTTATACTTGACTCTCAAGTTTCTTACAGAATAGGAGAATTTGACAGCTAGGGAAGGAGAAACAGGAAAACAGAAATGGTTCACTGGCTGATAGCATGGGAGATGGCAAAAAGTTGAGAAAGGTTCAGTATATGAACCAGGGAGGATTTCTAAGCTTTGATGAAGAAAGAGAGTTTGAGGTACTAATCACAATGTTGATATTGGATGACACTTGCAGAAAGAAGAAGAGGGGGCTACAGGATGATTCAGAAGTTGAGATGACTGGAAGACTTTCATTGCGTGGTTGACAAAAGTATACTTGCTTGCATTTCCTGTTCAGAAAAGTATATTTATCTGCAGTGTTTTAAAGATTTAAAAACATGCATCACTGAAAATTATATTCATATTTTACTGTTGTCTTAACTAGTCTCCAATATACCAGAATGCCACATATCTGCATTAGTCCAAGGTAGCAGACAGTAAACAGTATTTAGCCAAAAGTCTAAATTAAGGATGTAGTACTGCATGCAATTTTCAATTTTAGAATTACGTTTTGAAATGTTTTAAACTTTAAATAAGAGTCCACATAATAGTCTGTATGTGAAAACACTATTGTCATATCAGAGTAAAATAGTGCATGCATCTGAAAGATTCACATCAAACAGCATTTAAAACACACACAAAAATTCAACTAAATGATCTAATTATGTAAAATGATCACCTCATCTTCCTGATAAGGAAAAGAAAAATAATTTAAACATTATTTCACTATTCAGCTATTTCTATTAAAATATATATAGCATAAACAATTTTAACACGTGACAGAGCAAAGACCATATCCTGCCTAAGAAGAACTGGACAATACAATAGTTTCCAGTTAGACAGATAGACTTGAGATTCTAGTGTACTATGAAAACTTGACTTTTTCTATTACTCCTCAGTAAACAGTTTGTTATCTAATCCCAAAGAAATGTAGTTCTTTAAAGACTAGGGCATAACATGTAATGTATTATTTTTTCAATATCACCTCTTCCTTTTAAGTAAATTTTAATTTAGACTTTTTAACAATTGTTTTAAACTGAACTTTGGTATTAAAAAAAAGCATCCACCAACTAACAGTATTTCTATTGCTCTGCAGCACTCATAACGAATAATTAAATATTTTCTCCAACTGGCTTAATTATCTGCCAAATAAGACATTCATGAGGATGCCTGACAGCCTGGTGCTAGAAAATCAAAATTTAATGCTCCCTGTCCCCTCAGAAATTAGCAATAAAACACTCCAAGGTGCACATTAATAGGCTGTTAATACATGTGTGGGATGCACATTCAGGCATTCAACCGAAGGTCAAGGACAGTGAGCAACCTGAGAAGTTCTGCAATAGCCTTGTTGAACTACCTGAAGAGGCTTACTATAATTTGAACATCAGATCCAGATATTTAAATTACAGTTACAATTTAATTAGGGGATTTTTGTGGGGGGGGTTTGTGGGAGCAGATGTGAAATTTCAAATTCTACTCTGAAATACATTGCTCCACTACAGAAAATCATTCCTAATAGGAGAATAAGAGAAAAGAGTGTGGTGAAAAGAACATGCTCTTCTTGGTGATGAAGTTATAATTGTGCTTAAAGAATTAGTAAAAGTGACTATGACACCACTCAAAAGGCCTAACCAACCAGTGAGATCATGGCTTTTCAGTGTCCCAATCACATTCCTAACTAGGTAACTACCATGAAATAAATTATTTAATAAAAAGAGAACTCAATCTCAAATGCAGGCTTTACTTGCATTTTCTGTTTCTCTATTTCTGCATCTAGCTCAGAACAATGTAATTAATTTTACAGTAATTACAAATAATTCTCTGGATAAAACTACCATAACCAGCTATTAACAAAAACAATGCAAAAAAGGCGGTCAAAAACTTGAAAGCAGTAAACAAACATTGTTCTGCAAAATACCACTAAGAGAAATGAGAATTTAAGATAGCATTCTGTACAAGGCATTTGTTTTGTCACCATTCAAGATCTGCTGAGCCATTAAGACAAATACAGGTGTTATCAAGGCTCGACAATTAGGGCAATCTACTCGCCCGTGGCGAGTAGATTTTAGCCCGGCACGGCGCCGCAGTGCAATCAGCGCATGCGCAGACCAGTCTCTGCACGTGCAGCGTGCCAAACCAAGCGGCTGGCGAGTGTGACAATATAGTGTGATAAAACAGAAAAAAAGGAATTTAAAAAAAAAATAGGTTACAATTTAGCTTATAAATTTTTGCTTTTAAAGTCCCATATTGAACCTGATAATAAAATATTAACAATGATTAAAAAAAACTAGCCCTTTAAATATGCTAACCTTGACAGTTTACATTTCAATAGGTGAAAAAAGAAACATTTAATTTTATTCTAAACAAGTGAGATCTACATTTTTAACATTATCCACATAAGACAGTAAATTGAAGTAACTACAAATGTGGAAAATACACCATACCTCAGGACTTTTGCGATTCTGCAAAATTTGCTTGTCTGTGTCTTTAGTAGCAAAGTATCTAGTGCAGCCACGGTTTAAATACTATAATGGAAGAGGGAAAATCATGTCACATTATAAGTAAAATTAAAAAGCAAGAATAAAATTAGTTCATAATCTAGTGCTGAAATTCAATTACTAGTTTATCATACTATCCAAGAAGTGTATTACATAGCCTATCTTCAATGTTTGACACCAATCGCACACTATCAGAGACATTCAGTATTATAGCCTTGAAAAGTTAAACGAGATCTTATTTATACAATGAGATCACAGAACTGAAATATGAGAACAAAGTTCTGATTTTAAAGTAATTTAATTCCAGCAAAAGTACTTCTTATAAGCAAAGTGGAAAGAAAGACCATTAAATCAGACACACCGCTATTACAAAGAATATATTTATGACTAACAAGGAATATATACAATTCATAAAATTAGCTGCAGCAATTAGTACTTAGTAAGATAATGATTAATTAAATCAACCTGTATAAAACCTGTCAAGCAAAAAACAAAAGAAAAGGTGCTACTTCTAAGAAAGGCTGCTCTCAATTTCACTATTATAACTTTTCAGCACCAAAGTACATTCTGAGATATTAACTACTCCCGTAGAACACATCAAGTCAAGTCTAGTTTATTCTCTTATAAATTCAGTTTGTATAATACATATCTGAAGTCTCTTTAAATTTATCTCCACACCAAACATAACAGCAAAACAAAAGTTGATACTAATGAGACATGTCTGACCACTGTGAAATTTCACACCAAAAAAACACCTGTTGTTGGAGGAAAACAAGAATTTATGCCCCATTTTAAAAATCAAAACGTTATGAAGATGCAACAGGTAACTTCATAAAGAGCTGCTTCAAAAAATAAGAGCTTCAGGGGGCAGCCAAGTTAGTCTGTTACAGGAAAAAAACAACAAATGGTCTGGTAGCACTTTATAGACTAACAAAAGCTCTATATGTTTTTTTAGTCTATGAAGTGCCACCAGACCATTTGTTGTTCTTTTCAAAAAAAAATAAGGGAACTGAAGCTCCAGATAAGGGAAAACTTGTTTATAGCTGTTTGCAGATGAAATTACACAGAGATAACAATGAATGTAGGGAAGAGATGAGAACCAAGGACAAAGCCTTATGGAAACCACACTGAAAGCTGGAGAGGGGATGAGGAGGATCTTCCAAAGGACATGCTATTGAGTCATTTGGAGAGATAGGAGGAGAACCTGGAAAGGACAAAGTTAAAGAAACGAAAGGAGAACAAGGTTTCAAAAAGAAGATGGTAAGTGGTGTTGAAGGCAAGCTGACAGATCAAGGATGAAGCTGGAGCATTTGTTCTGAGCTTCAGCTAGGAAGAGATCAGTTGGTGAGGGAAGTGTGAAGCTGGAGTTGAATGGGTCAACAACATGGAAACTTAGAGGTTACAGCAGGTGAACATGGGAGATAAAGAGAGGCAGAGAAAGCCAGGAATCACAATCAGAAAAGAATGCCGACAGTAAATGACAGAACCATGAATGGAAGGAGAAACTGATGCAGTGTGGTTCAAACTAGGAGAAAGTATGGACGGGAATCAACAGGAATGGGAGCAAAGCCCAACACCGTACTGTAATCTGATCCAGTGCTGAAAAGATATTTTTGGCAGAAATGGCAGCTGTAGAGGCAGTGTCACAAACAGATCCAGATCTCCGTGAGAGCCAGGAACTGAAAGGGTAAGATATGAAGAGGTCATGGATAGCTAAAATCTTTTTAGAAATGGACCAGGCTATCCAGTGTTTGAAAGAGAAGGAGAGGAGGATTATTGGTGGAAGGTTAGATGGTATGAAAGGGACAAAGATGGTAACTGGAATGAAGATGGGAGGTGGAGAGAGGGGGGTGACAGAAGAGACATGGTTCAAGTGAGGTGGAACCTAGATTTATGTTGGTGGAAGGAGATCAGAGTGGAGAAGAGAAGATTAGTGGGTAAGCCTAGTGGGAAACTAAAAGGGAAATGAGAATATACAGGAAGGGGAGCTGGAACCAAAGGGGCGAGGATACAGGGGGAGAGAAAGGATGCTATTTGTGGATCTGCCAGCATATATATGGCAATTCCCTAAAATAGTATTTTGGAGGAAAGTCAGTATAATTTTCAAGGCAACTGAAGTTAGGTTACCCAAAGAAACCACAGATGATTCTTTGAGCTTATACAGGTTGGACCTTCTTGGACCAGACCAGTCCTGAATGAGGGAATTTGCCAGATCAGGGGAGTTCCCGGCCACCCATTTCCCAGGATACTGCCTCTCCCTACAGCTGGCTCCGCTCCAGCCCCACTGTCACTGGGCTCCAGCCCTGCTGCTATAGCCTAAAGCCACGCTTTTTACTCGTGCTTTTATTAATGTTTGAGTCTGTATGTATGTGTTCCTCCTCTCTATATGTCTTTAGCTGGTTATGTCCCTCTCAGGACATATATAAATATATATAAATTTTTATATATATTTGTATTTTTTTTTGTTTGTTCTTGTAAGCCGCCTTGAATATTTTAAATAGAAAGGCGGGATAAAATATTTAAATACATAAAAATAAAAATAAATATGTTTGGCATGCTGCTGCTGCCAGCCGGCTGGGGCTTTCCAGGGTCGGAGCTCCCCAGTTGCTGTGGCCCCACTTGGACCCTGCCTGCCCAGAGCCTCCCAGAGACCATACTCTATGGTTGCCCCACTGCTGCTGGAACAGGACAGGACTCCACAGTTGCCCTGCTGCTGCAGGAACAGGACAGGGCTCGCAGTGACGAGGTTTGCTGGATCCCACTGCTGCCCAGTCTGGTCAGGGCTCTCTAAGGTGGGGCTCACCAGTCCGATGGTGGGGCTCCCCTCTGCTGGACTGCCTCGCTGGCTCACATTCATAGGTGACAGAGCTCTCTATTCCAGCAACATCTGTGAGCCTGCCAGACCACGGATGTTGCCGGACCAGAGAATCCCGAATTTAAGAGGTTCAACATGTAGTTCAAAGGCAGGATCCAATGATAAAAATCATTACTAACAGCTAGATGTGCAATAACTGATTTTTGTAAAGGCCCTACAAATCCCCAACATGAGTGGCATGGAGAAATAAAGTATGGGAAATCCTTTAAACAGAAAAAAAATGGTAGATGGCCTTATCTCCAGATCAATTAGATTTTAATGAATGGCTATCAAATAAATACACAATAATAGAAGATGAGCACCACAAACTGGCCTTTTACAAGTAACAAATAGAGTTTATGATTAAGACTTGTTGATATTTGTTTGAAAAGTTCACGTATGTTGATAAAAAGTTGCTTTTTAAACACAACAGTAGCAGCAAACTCACCCTAAAGTTATCTGGAGAGGTTAAATACAGCTTTTGCCTAATATCTTCAGGAGCACCTGCACAAAGCCTGTAAAAGATATGGTAATTCCTCTCCTCTTTGCCTTGCACACAGATTCTGGATTTCTCCAAAAGATAATGTGATACGAATCCACCAACCACCAAATTCTATGAGGAAGAAAACTATTTTTAATTATCCAAAAATGCAAACATTTTGAAATGTATCTGCTTGTTTTGATCAACAGGCATGTCGCATGTTTACTGTAAGTACTTCAGGATAGATACACCCAGGCAAAAGATGAAAACATTTCCTTAGATATTATTTAAAACACAAATTCAAATATAACTATAGTTAAACTATACAATTTACAGGCATTTTTGGCACAAAAAACTAACTTCAACAATATAGCATCAGTAAGACCCAAAATATCAGCAATATACATGAGGGTCCAAATTTTCATGCAGATGCAAAAAATATATATTTATTCTTCATTAGGTACACAAATCCCCAAATGTACACATGTATGTACACACCTGCACGTAATGTGCAATATTTACTTTTGCATCGATATCAGAAGAATTGTGTGCCAAAACTTGGTTATAATCTGTTAACAATACATTTTTAAATAGAGGACAGTATCATTTTTGTAGATTAAAATAATATCCTATCAGTTTGGCCCCACTGTTTGCCAGTAATTACATGGCAAGAAGTGGCTTCAGTTCTCTTTTTCAAGAACTACAGAATACAATTGTTCCTTTGAGACTGGTAAGCATGTTAACAGTTGCTTCTGTTTAGCCTATTTCTGATATGGTGCATCTGTTCCCTGGCAAAAGTTAAATGCCATATCTGCGGCCACTTTAAAATGTTAAGAGGTTCACATTTTAATTGGGAAAAAACATAGCATACCTAAGAAGCATGTTTCTCAATCTTTTTGATACCAAGGACTGACTTGCTGCTTTACTAAACTATGTCAGAAAGATATCAGGGTCCACCTGACCAGGCTTTGAGAAATACTGCTCTGTATGAATCAACTCAGACTCATAATGAACAGTGATTACATTTTCACAGGGCGGCAGCCACCAAAAAAAAAAAAAAAAAAAAATCTATGCCATCAAACAAAGTCCACCACTGAATACTTAACTACAAAGTAATCCCACCTTTTCATTGAAGTGGATTTCTACAAATTTTCCAAATCGACTGCTATTGTTGTTGCGAACGGTCTTTGCATTTCCAAAGGCTTCTAAAAGTGGATTGGCTGTTTCAAAATAAAAGATTTTAAAATTTGATTAAAAGCGGAATAAGTCTCACACCTTACAAATAAAATTAACATGAAAAACAGCATTTTTTCAAATTGTGCTAGATATATGTGGAAGCAACTTTTAATACAAACTTTAAATATTCTACCCCAGGTGCAAAGTTCCTGAATCTCAGCTATCAATGAAAATGATTCAGATAGAAGATAAAAATAAACAAAACATAAAATATGATGGACAGTGTGAGCTCCAAATGGATTGCCCCAAATATGCAAATTTTCCCATCTATTCCTTAGTCATAAGCATGAATGATGACATATGAGGTAAACGCTACACAGAGTTACATTAATAAGGAGGGAACCAAGAGCTTCCAAGAAAACCGAGCCACTGTCCCAATAACTTAAAATTGTTGTCAAAATGGTGAAAATTGAAAAAGGTAATGTCTTGAGAAGCAAGGACCCCAAATCACATAGGGCTTTCTAGTTCAAACTGACACCCCGTATGCCCACACACACACACGCGCACACACACACACACACAATGGAAGCATGGTGACTTTGGAGAAGAATTGAAATGTGCCTCCTATCACTCACTCAACCAAGCAGATGGTCACATTCTGCAGTAGCTATAGTTGCAAAACAGTCTTCAAAAATAGCTCCATCCAGAATGCATTACAATAATTTAGTGCATACATATTTGAACATGCATAGTTTAAGCAGAGTTTTAAAATGTATCCAGCTGTGCAGCACAGTGCTTCTGAAAAACATAATTCTGCTAGCTAGAAAAGGCAGTAGTAACAGGCTTAGCAAATCTGTTGACACATTTTGTCTAGGGGAAACCATAGAAAATTATTTCCAAGTAACTGCTGACAACCTACAGTTACAGACTGACATTTTCCTGAGCAAACCTTATGGAGTTGAGATAAAGTTTACAGAATAAATTTAAGGATAACTGAATTAGAGTTGATAACTTTGGAGTATATTGTTTTAAAACACAATTGTGTATATACTGTTGGGGTTATGTATGTATGTTCTCATTCATGCTGTATGCAGAGCCCTTCCATCCACAGTACTATTTGGAACCTGCACTTTTGGACTCCGTCCTCAACTGTCTTATAGAACGCAGGGACCTGGGGAATTATAGGGGCCTGGCACATGATGGCAGAAGCAAGGCTTGCCCTCCCGCACTCAACAGCAGTAGGCGCCAGAGCAGCCTAACAGCCTGCTCCTCTCAGCTCATCCACTTTACCCAGGCCCACTCTACTCTGCTTTGTCACAGAAGGGGGAAGTAGAGGACCCCACCCCTGAAGCGCTCCACTTCCCACTGCCATGAAGAAGCGCTGTGCGGTGGGCTGGGAGAGGGGAGAAGAGCAGGTTGCCTGGCTGCACTGGGTTCTGCCACCTCAGTAAGTGCGGGGAGGGAGCACCCCATGCAAGGCCCTGTAATCTCCCCAGTTTGCATTGCTGGGGAGGAGGCAAAGGGTGACACAAGGTTGGGACATGGGCAGAGCATGAGCAGGGCTTGGGGGAAGGGGACGAGTGTGAGAGGGGCAGGATGGGGCATGCAGCAGGGGTGTGTGGTTGCTCTGGGCCCTGTGACTCAGACACTGGGGGAAGGGTTGCCACTAACCCCGGATCCCTAGGGATGGCCATGGCTATATAAATGTACCTTTTCTAGCAGGAAGAGGATGCTAATGTAACTGATCAGCCTTTTGAAGCCACCCTCAGAGGTCTGCATATACAAGTTCAAACTGAATTCTCTAGGGTCAAAGGAAAGGATTTAGGGGTAAGCAGCATAGTATTAAACTGGCTCCGGGCCTTCTTCCTGACCAACAGAGGGCCCTAATCCTTACTGTAGGTTTGGAAGGACTGGTCCTACTGAGTCCCTCAAAGATTATGCGATTGTTCAAAGCTGAAATTGCAATTAATTTACGACCACAACACTTTTATTTTAAGAATAAAATAGGCTTGCATAGAAAGAACTGTGTAGTAACTTATAATTGTTGACAATCACTCTTATCAGTCTCTGAGGCAAAAGCAAGGAGGAGTGACTTGGCAGCCACTCCCTGGTGAAGGGAACACCACAGTGAAGACGAAACAATGCAATGTAGAAATTCCCCAGTCAGGAGGGGCAAGATATGGTTCTCCCCTCAAAAAGGCAATTGCAGGAGAGATGGAAGCCTGGGTGCCCTTGCTGGACCACTGAGAAAAAATACAGGTGCAGTTGCCATGAACTGTGACACATGCCTTGATCTTAAAACTGAACTCCATTAAAACTAAGAAATTACGTGGGAATTGTTCCCCAGATTTAAAGCCTACTGAAAATAATACACAACTCTGATGCTAAAGGTTACAATAGGAAACCCACAATGGTGGCATAAGTTAAGGGTGATAAAGTGTCAGCCTTCCCTTGGATTTTGTTGTTGTTATTCAGTGTTACAACCTGATGGTTAAACTTCTTAATATGGTTATCTTAACAGCTGCTATAAACAAAAGGGCTACGTCTAGACTGGCATGATTTTCCGCAAATGCTTTTAACAGAAAAGTTTTTCCGTTAAAAGCATTTGCGGAAAAGTGTCCACGCCAATCTAGACACGGTTTTGCGCAAGAAAGCCCCGATCGCCATTTTCACCATTGGGGCTTTTTTGCACAAAACAATACCGTGTTGTCTACACTGGCCCTCTTGCGCAAAAGCATTTGCACAAGAGGGCTTTTGCCCGAATGGGAGCAGCATAGCATTTCCGCAAGAACACTGACAATCTTACATGAGATAGTCAGTGTTCTTGCGGAAATTCAAGCGGCCAGTGTAGACAGCTGGCAAGTTTTTCCGCAAAAGCATGTGGAAAAACTTGCCAGTCTAGACGCAGCCAAGAAGTATTTCAAGTTTATGAGCTTTGAAAATCTGGGCTTTAATGCTGCTATGTTAATAATGAATACTTATTGAAGAACTGTTAAAAATTGTTTAAATAATACCTCCCACCTCAGAAATATGTATTACTGAATAAAAAAGAGGGATAAGAGGTCTTTCAGATCAGTTACAGATTCTCCTAACAATACAGCCATTGTGAGCATGCTTGTTAAGAAAGTGTTTAAAATTAGTTAAAAATTGCTTCAAACGTGCAATCGATGCCATTGTAGATAGCACAATTATTTCACAGCTTTTTCCAAGAATACCTACAGGTACCCATCAACATTATGGAATGCAGCTTCAGGTATTATGTCCGACTGTCAGTCACTTTCTGAGATCCCACGGCACATAACGTGGACTTGGTTGTTTTTATACCCAGCTGTAATTAAGCAACATCATGCTTATTATACCATAACTATGTTAAAAATGAAAGCCTGCTCTATTTCTCTGAAGAGGGTCTAATGGCTGAAAGCTAAAGCTAGACAAACAGACTAGAAATACAGTGCATATTTTTAACAATGAGAATTATTAACCATTGGAACAACTTAATAAGGGTTGCTGAAGATTCTCCTTGATTAGAAAGTTTTAAAGAAAGACTGGATATTTTTCTACTTCAGAGAAGTCCTGTGTCCTGTATTATGTAGACTAGATGGATCACAATGGTTCCTTCTGGTCTTATAACTTATTAACACGACAAACTTAAATACAATAAAGAGAACATGGAAGTAGTATTCAGGATGAGCTGCTTTATGACCTATACAAATTAACACAACAAAAAATAATGGGAGAAACCTTATTCTTGAAAATTGCTTGTACATTTCATCCAATTGACAAAAAAAACCCAAACCTCATTCCACTAAAGCCACTGTTGTCAATGATGGGCTAATAACTGCCCTCACGCATATCAAGTAAGATCCCATAAGTTTCATGCCACCCACTAGCTTATGCAATCTCAGGACCAAGGCCCATCTCAAAGAAAAAATCATCAGCATGTGGCTCAATAGCTACTCTAAATAAAAGATAAGCAAATCCCAATCAAATATCTTTGCAAATTAGACTGATTGGAGAAGACCATTGACCTTTTATATGCAAGTTGTTTGAATGACATTTCAATTCTAGATTTTGTTGTTGAACATTTTAAATCTGACCTTTGTTCAGTTTAATAAGCTACAGTACCTTCTACTATTCTATCATCAATATCTTGACCAGTACCATAGGATTCAGTCAAATACCTGTAAAAAAGAAGAAAAACAATGTCCATCTCTATTTTACTGCCTCAGTCTAATTGAGGAAATTCTTAATGTCTGCATTACATGCTGGCCATTTATATATAGAGAACATATCTGAACATTTTAAGGTAAAGATTACTTTACAAATTCTGCATGCATGTGCATGTAAATTAAAACCCTTTTGGAAGAGGAAAATACTTATTTTTGCTAATATTAGTTGTGGTTTCTGGTATTTCTGACTTAATTTTTATAATCTTTTCATAGCAGAATATGTATATCAACATTTGCAGAAGTGCCCTTTTTAAGTCAGTTTAACTAATGTATTATTGTGCCATCTGCAGGTATTTATCTTTTATATAGCACTTTTCATTCATACATCAAGAATTAAAGGTTGTTCACGCACATACTTAGCAGCAGCCTGTACAAAAAATTCTGTGTATGGATTCTGGAGAAGCAAATTGCAGCTCCATAATTAAAGTTCAATTTCGCCCCACAGAAGGAATTGAAAATGACTATTGTTACATGAAAAATACAGCCTGCACTACAAAGCTTCTTAGATTAAACACAGCTTACACTTGGTGAAAATTATCAAGTAAATCCATTAGATTTTCAGGTTAACATTAAATTTAGAAATGGATCCTTTGAGAAATTCTGCCTTCACCATTAGACTTATTTGTACCAGTTACTTTTCAGCAACAAAACACAATGCAGACCCTTCAAATATTCCACATAGTTAAAACCCACTGAAATGTTGTATGCACTGGCTACATTTGAAGAATGTTTTTAAATGAGTAATAGTAATTTCCTCAATATGTGTCATAACAAGGTTGCTCTTTTACCAAAAGAATATTCTGTTTCAGAAAATTCCACAAAGATCTCTTTCAATACAGTTGCCATCTCCTATTGTTCTCAATGGAAGCAAGGCCACAGGCTGCCCTCAGTTAAGATGCCCTCTTTCAAAATGTCATCCACATCTCATTGCTTCCTATAAGAGTGAAGCCAAAAGGTCCTTAGGCTAGCCAATGGCCCCCTAAAATGCAGAGATTAGCAGTGAGAAGGAGATGATTTGGGGCAGTTGTCATCTTTTCTCAAGTTCAGAAGGGAAGGAAAACTGGAGCATCTGCATGCAATGAAATGTGGGATGCAAGAGGGAGGAGGAATTTAGGGGACACAAGGGAATGTGGAGGACTGGAGGAAGAGACAAAGTGAGAATGTCTCACACTGCATTGCAGTGCTCTGGCAAAGCAAATGAGCTGATAAAGTCAGCTTCACCGAGCAGTATCATCTAGTTGTGCTATTCCAGCACGGCATAAAGATGGCAGGGCTTAGAAGTGAATATAGTCATATATTAAGACAAAATAAAAAAAAGGAGTTAAAGCTGATACTATGCAACCTCAAATCAGCAATATCACAGTGTTCTCTTGTTTTGTGCTCATATACGAAGTTTAAAAAATAATCCCTTTCCAAAAACAAAACAAAAAACGAAATTTCCAATAAAACCCTATGTTATGCTGTGGCTAAAGGTAAGCACACATCAGTATTTTTAAGATTTTTTAAGATAATTTTTACCCTAGACCAAGAGTTAAACACCAAGGAAATTCATAGTTAAGGTTAAACAGAAAAGAAATACAAGCATAGTGAAGTATAGAAATGCACAATTAGAGCATAAACCATTATTTTGCCCTACATTGAAACCATTAAGGTAAAAGTAGAAAAAAAAAAGTCATAGAATCATAGAATAATAGGACTGGAAGGGACCTCGAGAGGTCATAGAGTCCAGCCCCCCGCCCTCAAGGCAGGACCAAGCTCCGTCTACACCATCCCTGACAGATGTCTATCTAACCTGTTCTTAAATATCTCCAGAGAGGGAGATTCCACCACTTCCCTTGGCAATTTATTCCAATATTTGACCACCCTGACAGTTAGGAATTTTTTCCTAATGTCTAATCTAAACCTCCCCTGCTGCACTTTAAGCCCATTACTCCTTGTCCTGTCCTCAGTAACCAAAAGGAACAAATTTTCTCCTTCCTCAGGGTTGTGTAAAACTCAGCTTCATCTCATTTGACCCACAAGTACTAAAATGCCCAAAACATAATAGTTAACATTCTGTTACTATGTAGAGTGAAGGTTATTTGAGAGATCTGTTGTTTCCATATTTCATCACTAAGGCTACAGTTTTGGCATGAATTTTTTTAGTAAATTTTATGGCAGAAGTACAGGAAAAAACTAAGATGCAGAAGGGTCACCAAATGATGTAACTTTCATCTTCAGTAGGAAAATTAATATTTCACCCCAAAACAATCCTGAACTGAAGCTTTCAGTATGATATTTAGCTATAAAATAATTTGTTTTTATAAGAACCCCATTTGGGGGGAGGGCAGTAAAACTGTGGATTATCTATCACAGATTTATATCTCAACTGAGATTGGGGACCATTCAGCTGCCTTGCTTGGTCATGCCTAGAATACACATTAACAACACTGCAAGTGACTTTCAGATTTACCTCTGTATATAATAAACTAATGTATCCCATTGAATAATGTAGTGACATGCATACAAACCTCAGAACAAATTTTGTATTTTCTGTCTTGCCAGCTCCTGATTCTCCAGAAACGATGATGGACTGACTCATCTTGAGAACCTTCATGTCACGAAATGCTTTATCGGCTACAACAAAAATTACATTAAAGAAAACAATTATGTTACTCTCCTATCCTTCTGCTCAAATCAGAAATAAGTTATGATGTACATGACACCTAATTTAATTCCTTTGAGAAAAAAAATCAAAATTTCTGCTTTATATCCTGTGAAAGTCCATTTCTGTTACCTCCTTATGTTACATTACAGTGGCCCACCCTCAAAGAACGAAGCCTTTAATGATCTTGCATCTTCAAAGAGGCTGTGATTGCAGACCAGTCAACCTATGTATGACCGATAACAACTTGCAAAGAGGCTTTGTATGCAGACAATTCACTCACATGTGAATTTCAGAGATGTTTACTACACTAGCAATCATAAATTCATTAATTTATACTAATAGAAATCAAGGGCAAATACTAAGGTAATTTGTCCGTGTACTATTTATGTTCTAATGAAGGATCAGCTAATTGCCACACATGAATGAGTGTAACTAGTTAACCTGTGTATGCATAGGGAATAGAAAATAAGCTTCAAAACTAGAGTTCACATACTATCTGTATGATCTATGCTTCTTTGGAGGAAAGCCCCGCTGTGACAGTTTCAGTGAAAAAGCTTGTAAACCTGCTAGAGGAGCTATAAAAGGCGAAACCTCAGGCCAGCTCTGGTCTATTTAAAGAGTGAACAGGGAAAGCATAAGTTGTGTGATGAAGAGCTTCCAAGTAATTATTCGGAATACCCTGGAAAATACTTGGAAAAACTTTGACTTTGACATTGACAAAGCTCGCATATGGTGAATCAGATTTTAATAACCCCTAACTATATTAGACTTGGTTGTCAATGGAAGCCAAGAGCTAGAATGCCAGAAGGGCATTGTTTCCGGCTCCTTGTAAATGGATGTGATATTGTCAAAGCTCTTTTGTTACTGGCTTGGTGAACCTAAATTATAGAATAAACTAGCAGCTTTGGGGAAGTGTTTGCTCTATTTCCTGTAGAGCAAATACTTGAATTGTGGCCCATCTAGACCATCAGAGCATAGACCCACACAGCTACTGTACCACAGGGGAACAAATGCAGAGCTAATATCTAAACCTAACTGAACTCTGAAGTTTATTTATTTACAAACTAGTGGAGGATTGATTTTATATCTATAAAACGTGTTTTATTAGGAAATTTTCAACTTCACGTGGAAACTTCAACAAGTTACATTAATCCCTTCTCCCCCACACCCATACAGATCCTGAAAAGAGACTTTGACGAACATTGCTGAAATGTTTTATTAAAGCAAAAAAGTGTGTATAGTTTTCATACTCTGAATGTTAGCAGCACACCAAATTGATTCAATTATGACTCATATTTGTTGTCTTTTTCAACAACCTTCTATAATCTATATTACTTTTATACCAAATATATCATTTTAATATGGAAATCACTAATGTTCTTTCTTTAAATCATTTAAAGACATTATAATTCCTAAGAGGTAAAATGTGCATGAAGGAACAATCCACACCGGTAACATGCTGAAGTAGAAAGGAAAGGAAATTCAATACTACTTTCTGTCAAGGATGAAATTTTCAGAAAATGGATCATATCACAATAGAAACTATCATTCAGTTTTAATTATGGCATTTCTCACTACTTAAATTATTTAAATCTATTTTTTAGGATGGTTTAAGTGCATGGTGTATTAAACTGCATATAATCCGCAAACTAAGCATTTTTGTTTGAAGGCAAATAGAAATTATTATACTGCTTCTGTGTTTAATATCCAAGGTGAGAGAATCTGCCATTTTAGCATGGATTTGTCTTTCAAACAGTTTAAAAATAGAAGATGAAGTGGAACAAAGCATATTTTAGCAGAGAAAGTCGGAATACATACCTACTGCATAGACATGAGGGGGTAATGTCCCAAGTGATTTACCCTGATACTTTTTAATAGTCTCCAAAGAATAAAGTTTAGGAATGTCAAAATATGGGTTCACTGCAATAAGAATGTTGGCGACATAAGTCTGTAAAAAAAATCCACAGTAAACTACTAGGAAATATTCAACTAACTGGTTAAAAGCAACTCTGAATTGCTATTGAAAACAACAGAAACCCCATCTCAGAGTTTGGTACAGTGAAATTAGATTGGGAACACAATCAAATACTTCCAGAAAGCCATAAATTAGGATTACATACAACTAATGCTGACAACATACTGCAAATACAGATGGGTAAACTGCTCTGGGAGTTGCTGTATTTCTTAATCTTCAGAAAACATCTCAGAGAAAGCAAACATTTCCAAAGCTCTTTCTAAATAAACCCTCAGGCCCAGTGTAACTGTGTCCTAGACAACATTCTACCCCTCTTGTAAAAGTAGTCCTAACTAGGGATGTTAACAGGTAACCAGTTACCCAGTAAGCACCATCCTTACCAGGTAATGCTTACAGGATACTGGTTAATGCCTACTGTGGGCGGTGGCAGCCCCAGCCCTAGGACTGGGGTCAGGGGCAGCATGAGTAACCCCCGGCCCTGGGAGACTCTTGCTGCCAACGGCAGCAGCGAGAGCAGCAGCCCCAGGACCAAGGCCAGACCCTGCTTAGTCAGTTACCCGGTTAAATGTTAGATCAACCTAATATTTAACCAATTAAATGATTAATCAGGATTTTACATACCTATTTCTAACCCACAAAGATGTGTACAGCTTGTCAATGAGCACATGAAGGCTGCTGTTAATCTACACAGCCACTGTATTACCAGTATGTCTCTCACTGGTCTACAGTGTACTGAACATCAACATAAAGCCATATTCTTCTGGAATACAATTCCATAGGTACACGAAAAAACATTTTGCAACCACCAAGTACTTAATATAGATTTTATATCAAGTTAGAAGCCAATTTGGGGTTGAGGTAAGTTTAACTTTTTAAAAGTGTGAATATAAAGTTAAACAGCAAAGGTAGCAGATGATACTATACAACATAGCAATATAGGGCTATTTTCTTTTGAAATGTTGCTATAGCCAGGAGCAGAGAAGGAAGAAAGAAGTTTTTAAAAACATGATTCCCTCTCTCACAGAGCAGTTATTTGGATAAATTCTTGAATGCATATGAGGTACTCAGTTAATAGTGATAATGACCAAATTACATAAATGCAGTTAGATATCTGAGGATGAGAAGAGATACTCTGGCACAAAAAGATCCTAAAGAAGCGAGATGAAGTAACTCCAGATAGTTTTTTTCCACTTGCTATTCTTGAGTTAAGTATACTAGAAAACCCCTTGGATATAGGCCACTAATTCTGCACTGAAATGGGAAGAGGACTACACCTGTTCACAGAAAAGTTATTACTTCTACTCTTGCTCTCACTATTTCCCTGAATAAAATTGTATGCATGAAGTTGTTCAAGTGTCACCAGTATTAATATTAACATTCCTCTACGTAGCTAAATAAATTACATAACACTGATTCTGAAAACAGCATATAAAAGCCTTGCTTGCTACGATTATTAATGAAGTAAGAAGGGAAAACTAGTGATGTCTTAAACTGAACCAAATTATGTAAATAATAAATTCTGGAAACTTAGCTGGCAATTATCTTAAACACAGAAGATAGATTCTTGAGCTGAAATATGGACTAACCCATACCTTTTCTGCTGCAGATATTTGTTCTGTGTGTTTTGGGTTTTGTTTTTTTAACTGCAGTCAAATTTCTTTTCTGTTGCAGATATTTGTTCTGTGTGTTTTGTTTTTTTAACTGCAGTCAAATTATTGACAGTACCAGTATGGTTTTTAAAGCCAATGACCGCTATTCTTGATTCTATAAATAATTGATAACTGTATAATTTTCAGTGCAACAACAGCCAAAAATGAGTGAGCACTATTTTAGATAATAAAGTTAAGGTCTAAATAAATACACCTGATTACAACTGATTTTTAATGCAAATGTTGTCAGTCTCAAAGCTGATTTTTTTTTTTTTTTTTTAGGTGAAGAAAAAATTATTCAACTATGTCAATAACCAGAGATTTCCCCTCTCCCAGCTTCTTGGCTCTCTTCTATTTCACAACGGTCATTGCCAGGACAGATGGCAAGGACTAAATGTAATTTAGTCAGAATTCATTAAATATAATTAGGCAATTTGATAGCAATCTAAAAGATTAAGATGGTCATATGAGCCAGAAAGCATCAAAGGAGACACTTGTTTGCTTCGTTCAAAAATAATGAAGAAAAAGAGCCATCTTTGATAACAGGAGACCTGCTGGCAAAGTCACCTATATTGTAGCAATGCATTCCTTTAGGTAATGAAATAATGAATAATAAAAATACACAAAGTCCAAGTTACTCAATTTGCCTGATGGACTACTTTTACCCATCTGAATGGGGTGGTATACCAGATTTTCCTTATCAAAACCACTAACATTCATAAATGCTACCAATTACGTATGGGCATGAAACCCTTATTTTCTGCTATCGAACAAAAAGGCACAAATATTAAACAACAAAAACAGTATAATTAAATGTACTTGGCATATTATACATGCTAATACAATGTGTACTACTTACATAAATTCTGTCCTTGCAGTACCGCACTTTGATATTGTGAAGGAGTGTAGCTTCATTTAAGTACATCAGTGAACCTGCAATTTAAAAAGCCACACAGTTATTTTGACAAGTTGCCGTATTAGAGTATGATCACGCAAATGAAATACAGCATTAAGAAGAATTTTGTTCCCCTCCTCATTTTTGGCTCATGGCTACTTTAATCCTGCTAGTTTTTTCAAAGGGGCACTATTGATTTAAAGACCTAGTTCTGTCTGAAAAATGTCTACCTGAAAGTTTTAATGAGCCAACACTAAAAAGAGACAAATGAAAGATTATTATTTTATTCTAACATTTAAGAAAGAACATTAAAGCATGGAAGTGTCAACTTTTGACTTCACTCCTCAGTGATACCAGTCCCGACCTTCCTCAACTGCTTTTCCCACAAGCACATTCATGCTTTCCTCCACAATATGCACCATCAACTTTGTCTGAAAACCATAAAGTCCTCCAACTTATTTTCCTTCAACTCATTCTCTGCCATTTTGCACACAGAAAAACATCATCTAACAGGCTGCTATTGCTAATTCTTAGCATACTCCAAGGCAATTTCGAATGTTCACAACTTCATCAAATCAGGGTATATTTTCATGGGGACAACAAAAAGGATCCATCTGATCCCTGGACAATTGTCTTGGCCACATTTAAAATCCCTGCTCAAAATTTTATAGGCTGGAAAAGAAACTATTAGGAAAAAAAACATTAACAAAACTATCAGTTTTTCCTTAACCTCACTGCTAAAAACAGCTAAACCAACTTTACTGAAATACCGCATCTTGAGACAAAGCAAGCACAGAAAGTTTCAGACTAAATGGCAAATGTCTGGCAAAGCTGTACAAAACTGAAAACAGGAGTAACAATGGAAAGCGTGCTGTAGTTTTAATTCTAGGGCATCACTACGAGTTCCATCTATGTTGACAATAGAATTATCCTAAAAGATCTCTTATGCAGAGCTTCCTCAAGTCCTTGTCTCATTAGTTTCCCATTAGCATTTCAAACACAGAACACACACATCCTTATTTTTCTGTTTCAAACATAGGCTGCTACACTTTAGAGTCCATCAGCAACACAAAATAATCTCTATTGTTTCAGTTAGTTTCCTTTGTGCATTTGACAGTACTTTATTTAGAATCAAGTTGCACTCTCTTTTCTTGATCAGTTGTATTTCCTGTCTCATGAGCTCTCCAACACCTCTACAATGCTCTGCTCATGTGCTTATCACCCCCTGCAAGAAGATACTAATCCTCAAAATGGAAGAACGTGACCACTGTTTTTCAGTCTGAGCCAGGAGGGGCTTTTCTCCTAGGACTCCAACACAGAAAATCATGTAATTCCTCAGCTTCCTGAGGCTCAAATGATTTATCCTACTTCCAAACACCAGCAACCAAAAGCTTAGCATAAAATGATACAAGACTCACAACCAATCAGGACACTCTCAAGTGTCCTTATCTTTATACTCAACATTCCTGTTCTTTTTGCCTATTAGTGAAATCATCTTTCCCAGATACTTCAGTCCACAGAAACCCCGTGGAAACACTGAGGCTAGGCAGGCAGCTGGTAAACTCTTCTTCATCCTTCTCCTGCCACACATCAGTCACCGTAGTCCTAAAAGACCTTAAGAGTGGACAATAAGATTGCAAAGTGCTGTCAGCCAACGCAATTCACTCCTTTCAGCAGTGAGCAAAGAATCTGCCTCCCATCAAATGTTCCAGACAAGCTTGCTGCAGTAGTACAGTAGATTCCCATGGCCTTCCTTTGCTATGTTCAGCTCCAGCAAGAAGCAGTGTAACCCACACACCTAGTGTGGTTACTGAGCAATGCAAGTAGCACCTAGACCACAGCAACCGTTAAGTTCAAGAGACCTCTACAGCAGGGGCTGGGAGCCAGCAGGCTTTTAGCTCAGAGGGTAGAGGTCTCTTGATTTTAACTGTTGCTGTGGTCTAGGTGCCACTTGCATTGCTCAGTAACCACACTAGGTGTGTGGGTTACAGCAGCACTCCCTTTTCTGGAACAGCTCTAAAAGTAGCTTCACTTCACATTGTCAGGCTCAATCATGTATCTCCAAATAGACCCTGAACACATGAACTGCCTAGGGAGAACATCTTCCACTATGGGAGGATGAATAGATACCAGAAGAAAAAAAAAAACTCTTTTCCAAAATGTCTAAGCCCCTAAGGTTAATAAAGAAAATACTTGGGGTTTATCCTGAGCAGTTTATCCTCTAGCCCACAAATCCCTTAAATCAGTGTTTCCCAATTTTATTTGGCCACGGAACCCTTTTAAAAACTTGAAATAATTTTGCAGAACTCCTAATAACAGTCTAATATATGGAGCTGAAAAAGTAGACCACAAATAAGTAAGGATAATAATAAACAAATGCTAAACAAGGTCATGAGATCAACATTTAGTTTAATTGCACATCTTTAAAGACAAAAATCACTTAATATTAATTATTGATTTTAAAAAAAAAACATAAAAGGTTATTGTAATGTAATTTTCTTGCAGAACCCTTATTTTCACTTCACAAAAGCTCGGGGTTCCACAGAACACCATTTGGGAAACACTGCCTTAAATTAGTCTTCATCCTATGTCTCAAACTAATTTCTATCCTCTTGAGATAACAGCCTGAGGGGTTCTTACTGAATCAGACAATCGGGTTCTTACATGTGATATTTATTTCTCACCTAAATGTTCAATCCTATCAAACTCTTCATCCTTATCCTTTGCAAGGAAGTTTTACTTGAACTAGGAGAGAAAAATCAAAGAGGCAATTTCTTTCTACACTGACGGTGAAGTCTCTTCCCTCTTCTAATATCTCCCCAATATTCAGATTCTAATGTTGTGGGACAAGTTAATTTCCCGAGTAAAGGGAGATTTATAATCCCCTGACTACTAAAAGAAATAGCCCTCAAAATTAAAGAAAATACAGTGGGGAACAACCATCTCCTATTTCTGCATCTTTAGAAAATACTGTCAAGCCAGAAAAAGTTATCTGAAAGAAAGAAAAAAAGCATGTTTGGCCAGTAATATTATAAATATCCTAAGGATCAAGGCACCACATTTTGTTTGGTTCCTAAAGTAAAATTAAAATCTCTTTTCCCACTAAAGGGTATTTGCTCCAGGGGACAGGGTTATTCTTAAATTTGTTTATGAGAAGGTTATATGATAGAGTAACAAGATACCCAAGCTGAAATCTAGGATATCTACTGCCTCCTCACATCTGCAATGCTTGTTACCCTATCAAAGAAACCTACAAGTTGAACCTCTCTAGTCTGGAAACATCTGTAGTCCAGAACGATTTTAGTTGGCCAGATGCCCACTTACAAAAATCAGCTCTCAATATTAATAAAGGGAAATTGTAAGGAAAGCATAGCTCATCCTTTGCCATCAGGGTAGCCATGTTGGATCCATGGGAAAGGGGGAGGGAGGACACCAGCTCCACACTCCCAGAAGGGGCAGGGCCTCATATGGAAGAGGCAGCCAGCCCTCCACACTAGACAGTAGCACCACCCCCCAAGTGCAGCCTGGATTGCATAGTACAGCACCCCATTTACCCAGGAAGCCCTAAGAGCCACCTGAAGTGTTTGTGCTGGCTTGGGGCTCTGGGTGCTGCTCATGGGCCACCTGTATGTTATGAAGGGGTGGGAGGCGGTATTGTATTCCCAAACTGCCAACGTGGCCCCACCCACACTCCACCCCCAGATAGGCGTACTGAGGATGGAGTGTTGACAGCCCCACAGCACAGAAGTTAGGTGCTCAGAGGCAGCTGCACGCCACCCACCCACCCTATGCTCTGGGGCCAGGGAGGCTGAGGCCACCTGCCCACCCATCTTCTCGTGGTGCAGGAGGAGGTAGCTTAGCTCCCGTAGGGGGTAGCTTAGTAGACGGGGTGGAGCTGGGGGCTTGCCTCCTCTAAACCTACTATCTTCACCCACGACCCATGCCAGAGCAGCAGCATCCAGGAACCTTGGGCCCCTCTGAATCACTGGGACCCAGGGCAGCTGCTCCCTTTGCCCTCACATATTGGGAGGCCTGCTGGCAGACCAGAGATGAAGCATGGTCACTTGCTCTATGGAGATAGCTCAATGTGCAGTCCATGAATGGAGCATGCTTACTGCAAATTGAATCTGTGTAGATTAATTAGCAGCCACACTCAAACAAGTTTCTACTGAGCATACAAGATATCACTATGTCTATGTGAGCAGTCACAAACCATGACACACTGTTGAGGACTGCAAAATTACTCAACTTCTTGAAGGTTTTTGTGTCTTGAACATTATTGAGAAGAATGCTATGAGCAGATTGCATGTGCTAAATAATACATAAATATGAACTTATATTCAGAAGCACATAACCGAGACAAATTGGGGCAGATTGTGACAGAAATGTTAAAATGCACATCCTTTACACCACAGCTACTCAACATGCGGCCCGTGGCCCATTGGTTTGTGGCCTACAGTAAGGTCTGGATTTATGTGGGGCTCAAAACGCAGCCCGCAGTTGGAAACTAAAACAAAAAAAGTCAATATAACAGTCTTCTGTTGATATGCATTTTAGCAGTTAAATTCCTGGACTGTCATTGCTCATTAAAAGTGCTGTCATATGGGTGGAAATCGGGTAAATATTGCATTTTATTAATATCAGCAGAAGTGACTTAAATGGGGCTTATGGGTTGCGTAATCTTGCCTTAATCCTTGTATTCATACCTGCCAGTGTGAAAGAAGCTATTTGCATATATATATTTGCATGTATAGGCAACCACACTTAAGTTGCAGCCCTCGGCATGTGCTGTGTTTGCATGTGAGTGTTTGCGCTGGCTTGGGGCTCTGGGTGCTGCTCACGGGCCACCTGTATGTTAAGAAGGGGTGGGAGGCGGTATTGTATTCCCAAACTGCCAACGTGGCTCCACCCACACTCCACCCCCAGATAGGCGTACTGAGGATGGAGTGTTGACAGTCCCACAGCACAGGAGAAGTTAGGTGCTCAGCGGCAGCTGCATGCCACCCACCCACCCCATGCTCTGGGGCCAGGGAAGCTGAGGCATATGAAGAGACTTAAATGGGGCTTATGCGTTGCATAATCTTGCCTTATTCCTTGTATTCATGCCCACCAGTGTGAAAGAAGCTATTTGCATATATATATTTGCATGTATAGGCAACCACACTTAAGTTGCAGCCCTCGGCATGTGCTGTGAGTATCATTCTGGCCCCCAGAGCTTCCAAAGTTGAGTAGCCCTGCTTTACACCATGGGGAAACGCTCTTAAAAAACATCAAGTTCATACTCCAAAAAACTAAGCTGCTAGAGAATGTCAGTGAAATGGCAGTAAACAATTTTTTAAAACAAAGTATTTTTATCTAACATTGTTCTCAGAAAAAGCAATTATTTGACACTTTACATCGATCAATCAATAAAAATAAGGCTGAGGCAGACACCCAGCCTAAAAAATTTCAGCCCAAATAGTTAAGTGTTTTGCAAAATTATATGCAACTGAAAATAAAACCTTCTAATTGAAAATGTTAGCTACTAGTTCTACACTATCATAAGTTCCAGGTGTTGTTTTCCTCATTATTGCAGAATGGCTACATATCTAGGTTCAATCATAAGAAGTGGATGCTACTGCTTTCAATGGAACTTGTGGTCCTAAGTAATACAGGCTGTGTCTACACTGGCATGATCTTTCACCAAAGTGGCCGCTCTTGCGCAAAATCTTGCTGCCTGTCTACACTGGCTGTGTGTTCTTGAGCAAGTAAACTGAACTTCTACTGTATGAAATCAGGGCTTCTTGCACAAGAGCTATGCTGCTCCTGCTCAGAAATAAGCCCTTCTGCGCAACTGTTCTTGCGCAAGAGGCCAGTATAGAGAAGCAACATGAATTTCTTGCGCAAGAAAGCCCTATGGTTAAAATGACCATCAGAGCTTTCTTGCGCAAGAGAGAGTCTACACTGGCATGGATGCTCTTGCGCAAAAGCACATCTCTTGCGCAAAAGCACATGCCAGTGTAGACACTCTCTTGCACAAATACTTTAATGCAAGAACTCTTGCGCTAAAGAGTTTTTGTTCAAGATCATGCCAGTGTAGACATAGCCCCAGTGCTTTTGAGAAACCTCACCCTCTGTATTTTGTATTAAGAACATGGTGACCTCTAAAAAGTAATCTCGAACATCTAGGGAAGCTAGCACTGCCCTGGGAAACAAAATTTAATAAGACAAATTTTTCAGTTTGTTTTCAGGAAATAAGGTACTGCGGACAGATTTGACAAGCAGCTCTCATAGGCCATTAATCAGCCCCACCCAGTCAGTCAGCTCACTGCACAGAGCCCAGAGCCCCTGACTGGGCATGGCTGATGAATCACCTGTGAAACTGTGTTGCCATGCACTTTAGAGTGCACACTGCTGCTCTCCCCTTAAAAAGAGGAGGAAATGTACAGAAGCAAACAAGTTCCTTAACATTTGGGTATAACAGCATCCTTCTTCTATTACTACCCCAAAACTTGAGTATCTTCTGACAAAACTGGTAGTTTTACATCATACATCAAAAGGTTGAATCAAACTCTGCATTGCTGTATATAGCTCACTCTACTGTCCATCAAACTAAATAACAGTGTCACTACTGTACTGTAATGCACATTTGATTTAACATATGTAAATAAAAAATGACACTAGTTTTGTTCCAGTTTATGAAGAGTACTATAGTTCACATACTGGAATTTAAAAGTCTTCTTTTGCATGCACATTTCAGAACAAACAACAACAATAAATGTGAAGCCTCTTAAAATTGGTTTAGACATAAGACACATTAATGGATCTTTATTGCTATAAACATGCAACTTCAAGCAAATAAACTTAGAAGTAGAGATTTTGTTATAAACCAAATGGGTTATAAATACACTTTAAAGTGCAGTACTTACAATTATCCTCCACATCCTTTTTACTGTCCTCTTCTGCAGGAAACACTTGGTTGATGATAGCCAAAAAAGTCTGTCAGATTTGAAAAAAATCTATTTTCAGAATTTCAATTTGCCATTGCTGTATTTCTGTGGCAGGTTTTAGTGAGTTCACCCAACCACTGCAGCAATTTACTTCTACTGCAGTTGTTCCTAAGAACCTTAATGAAGGACGTGGGCCACTAGGTATTATACAAAGATACACTCCCCGTCAATCAAGAACATTTGCCATTCTTGTATTTAGACCCATGAAGGGATGCTAATGGTGAAGACATCTGTACTAAGGCAATTACTGCAGTCTCAACTGTACTATTACAAATACTTACCATTTTTCATCCAAAATCCCTGAGAGCTTTAAAGGTAAGCACTAGTCCCAGATATTTAGATACCATTTTCTATAATGTAGATACCAATTTCACTGTTATAACAGTTATAAGCATTTTACTCAAAAGGAAACAGATTCAGAATGGATGTGACTTGCTCAAAATCAATGGCAAATCAATAGCAGCTCCAGGAATAAGAGCCAGGTCTCCTGATTCCTAGCACAGTACCCTGAATCATGCTGCAGTACTCCTATCCCACTTAAATACATTCCCATTTAAAAATACACTACATTAGCTATTTAATTTTCAAACACTGAATTTTGGTTTAACAAGCCTTTCCTTTAATCCTGTACTTCAATTGTACAAGAAAACCACTTAGCCAGTGTTTCTCTCTCTAGAACAAATCTGTAACCAAAGGAAACTTGTCTCTAATACTTCAAATAGTCTGGTAGCACTTTAAAGACTTAACAAAGCATGTAGAGGTTATCCTGAGCTTTCGTGGGACTGAAGAAGTGGGCTGTGCCTATGAAAGCTCATGATACCATCTACATGTTTTGTTAGTCTATAAAGTGCTCCCAGACTATTTGTTGTTTTTTAAGTTTATCCTCTACAGACTAACTCAGCTACCCCTCTGTAGCTTCTAATACTTCTGAAATTGTAATTCATATTATTTTTAAAAAAGGAAAGAGACCCAGCAAGAATAGATCTATCAGTGTCCACAGTGTACAAATATGTAACTACATTTAACAAATTACATATTTTCATCCAGACATTTATCTGAGGGTAGAGAGGTCGCACTAGGTGTTTGCATAGAGAATTGCATCTATCCATGAATGAATGGAAGCCTTGTTGTTCCAATTGTTACAGCTGACATGCTGCCGCCAAAATAATTTCCCTGAGAAGATGATTAAGGCAGTAAGAGTAGTCGTCTTGAACTAAAACAGCCAAAGATAGGCAACAAAGATCTTCTTCTATTGGAAGTAATGATCTTAATATTTTAAGCAAGTTTGTCCACTTAACCTGAAGTGGGTTTTGCCCACGAAAGCTCATGATACTATATATATATTTGTTAGTTTCTAAGGTGCCACAAGTCAACTCGTTTTTGCTCAGTGAGACACCTTCATGACAAACATCTTTTTTCCTGTGGCAGTGTATGAGAGATATATAAGGCTATTCCTCTTATTTCAGCACAATAGAAACACTTATGTTGTTTGTAGGCCACAAAATCTAAAATTACAACAGCTTTAAGTAGCTTCAATTCCAATTAATTTGGAAGTGGCAGGTTTCTTAAAATGAAGCATTAAATGTCTGTAAAAATAATGTAAGTATTGCCAGTTGAAAATTGGTAAAAAAAACTTCTATGATTTCCTTCCCTGGTACAGGAGACTTTTCATGGATTGTATACTTTTTTCCTGAGGCCCTTCTGTTCTTCCTACTTCCCATGATTGTTATGATAGTGATAACACTTTCTAAAATTACCTTAGATATGGTCAGAAACTAGATTAGCCAGACTTAATCAGGAAATCTATATAGCCTACAAGGCACAAGTGTTGTTCAGTACATCACATTGCAGACATAAAGAGCCTTAATAAGCACAGGCAACATAGTGGGGAGGAGCTGGGGTCAAACCTCCCTTCTTCCACCAGATTTCTGCTAGGTCTGCTGGGAAGGGGGTAGAAGAGGGGCTCTTTCTGTCTCCCACATCAACTACCCCCCGGAACGCTCAGCCCCTGTCCCTAGCAGTCAGGCTTAGGCAGGGAGCAGGAGGGGCAGGACCAGCCACTTCTCTCGCTTGCTTATCTGGCCTGTTGCCCTATACAGTGCAGCAGCTGCCTGAGAGAGCTTGGCTGGGGTGGCAGGCCACCCCCACTGAGCCCAACTATCAGAGACAAGGGCTGAGCGAACAAGAGTCCCCTCCACCTCCTGGCAGGTTTCCAGTTCACTTGACCCAGCCTGGTCCAAGGTCAGGGTGGCCCACCATTGCTGCCCCAGCTAGGCTCTCTCAGGCAGCTACTGCAAAGAGTCAGCAACCCAGAGTGGCCAGCGTCAGCCACGGGACTAGAGGCTTTGTCTCACTCCCCACCCAGACCTGGCTTCCAGGGAGAGGGGCTGAACCTGTTGAGGGACAGGCATAGTGGAAGGACAGAGCCCTTCCCGGCAGGTACCATGGAGTGGTGAGAGCTTGGCAGTCCGAGGCTGGGTGCAAGGTAGGAGATTGCCAGACAGAGGAGACACATAGGGTTTACCCTACCCCACCCCAAATATTGGGAGGCATGAGTTGTCTATGACCCTAAGGGTTTTACTACATCAGAGAATGCTGCAGATGGCTATTCAGAGGCTTGGAATATTAGATCAAGGTCCCCATGACTTCAAGGAGCATTGGGTTGTCACAGTAGCTACATATTTGTTTTTCTTTTTTGCCTGTTCTAGTCTAGACAGAGCTCACTCCTCAAATTGTTCATGCCACGTAAAGCAGAACAAGACTGGGTGCCCAGAAAAAAAAACTAACTTCCCAAAATTCTGTAATTTAATTCGCAATTCATATCTGTTTAAATGTAATGCAAGTGTAAATACATGGTGATGAAGACAGATTTCGTTTTCAAAAAGAGAATGAATTATGATAAAGCAACTCAAATGAATCTCACTTCTCAAAACTAAACTCATCATTTTTCAACAGAGCTAAAACCAACTGCACCAGATTAGTCAACGAGAGAGGCAACAGTATCTTTGTGTCTCTAGTGCTCGGTCTTAAGATCCAGTGAATAAAAATCTGGCAAGGCACTGGGTAGATACACTTTTATGAAAAATTAACGAGAACCACACTGCATATCATCCCTTGTAAGTTGGATGCTGCTTTTGCTGGCATCTTTTTCCCAGGATGAATGCTGAAATCATCTTTAGTAGAAACTGAAGGGGGACATAAGGATCATGTCAAGTTCAGAGAAACTCTCATAAGGATCCCGTCCAAGCTAAGACTCATTTGAATTTAACTTTTAAAATATTAAGTGATGTGAAAATTAGTAAAGACCTCTTTAGAATATGAACTTAGTTTCAGTTATGTCTATGAAGAATATCACTAATGCATGGCATAAATTCATCACTGCATTATTTTCTAGGTGACATTAGGTGAAATGTACATGTTTGCATGTTGCCAGATGAGTATTTTAAACATATTATATTTTAAAATTAGTAAGTTATCCTGCCACATGATTAAATATTTTTCCATTGAAACCCTTTACTAAACCATCCCATTTAAAAAAAAATCTTTAGTTAGGAGTATGTCTGTCAACCGATTAAAAATAATTGTAATAATTAATTGCACTGCTAATCGGTAACAGAATGCCATTTATATTTAAAAGCGGCGAGGAGTCCTGTGGCACCTTATAGACAAACTGAAGTGCTGGAGCATAAGCTTTCGTGGGCCGAGTCCCACTTCGTCAGATGCATGTAGTGGAAATTTCCAGAGGCAGGTATAAATATGCAGGTCAGGATCAGGCTGGAGATGACGAGGTGGATCCAATCAAAGAGGATGAGGCCCCCTTCTAGTAGCTGATCTGGAGGGGTGAATTCCAAGAGAGGAGAAGCTGCTTTTGTAGTTAGCAAGCCATTCACAGTCTTTGTTTAATCCAGAGTTGATTGTGTCAAACTTGAAGATGAACTGTAGCTCAGCAGTTTCTCTTTGAAGTCTGGTCCTGAAGTTTTTTTGCTGCAGGATGGCTACCTTTAGATCTGCAATTGTGTGTCCAGGGAGATTGAAGTGTTCCCCTACAGGTTTTTGTATGTTGCCATTCCTAATATCTGATTTGTGTCCATTGATTCTTTTACGTAGGGACTGTCCAGTTTGGCCGATGTATATAGCAGTGGGGCATTGTCGGCACACGATGGCATATATTACATTAGTAGATGTGCAGGAGAATGAACCAGTGACAGTATGGCTGAGCTGGTTAGGTCCTGTGATGGTGCTGCTGGTGTATATATGTGGGCAGAGGTGGCACCGATATTTATTTAAATATTTTTGGATGTTTTCTACATTTTCAAATATATTGATGTCAAGTACAGTACAGCATTCAAATGTACAGTATTCACTTCATATTTATTTTTTATTACAAATATTTGCACTGTAAAACAAAAACAGTATTTTTCAATTCACTTAATACAAGTACTATAGTACAATCTTTATTATGAAAAATGAACTTACAAATATAGAATGATGTACAAAAAAATGTCTACATTGAAAAATAAAACAACATATAACTTTAGAGATTACAATCCATTCAATCAACGTCTTGTTCCGCCAATCACACACAGAACTTTGTTTACATTTACAGGAGATAATGCTGCTTGCTTCTTCTTTACACTGTGATCTCAACATGAGCAGCGGGGAACCCATGACATTTTGGTAGCTGACATTGCAAGATACTTATCTGCTAGATATGCTAAACACTAATATGGCCTTAATGCTTTAGCCAGCATTCCTGAGTTTCACATTGTTTTGTTTTTGACTGCAGTTATGTTTAAAAATAATCAACATTTGTAAGACGCAATTTCAGGATAAGGAGATTGCACTAAAGTACTTGAATGAGGTGAACTGTGACATATTATCTCTTTCATTTATCATGTTTACAGTGCAAATATTTGTAATAAATATAATATAAAGTGAGCACTATACACTTCGTTTTCTGCATTATGATTAAAATAAATACATATGAAA